GGAAGGGCCGGCATGCTGTTCCCAGGTACTGGATCTTCGGCTTTGGGTGTGTGCTGCTGCCGCCTGTGGGAATTTGGAAGTTGCTGGCTTGGGGCCTTGAGGCTGGCCTGCCCATTTCTCAGGGAGCCTCTGGGCACAGCCAGCATCAGAGCATCAGGCCTTCCTGTTCCGCACGGCAGGCGGCACTGCTGGTGGGAGCAAGGCTCTGGCTGCTTCTGCTACCACTGGCCCACTGGCCACCCATGGGGGTCAGGCGCAGGCCTTTGCTGGGTCTTGTGTCCCCAGTGTCCCCAGCAGACCTCTGAGTCGGGGGTCCACATTGGGGTCTACTGCAGCTTGCTGGTTGGAGTGCAAAGGAGCCCAGATGGTCCCACCCGTCTGTTAGACAACAGAGGGAGGGAGCCGGGGCCACACCCCACATGCTGAAAGCCACTTCTGCCAGTGTGACCGACCCAGTGGTTGGGTTTCCACAGGGGCGCACAGCATTTGGGGTTCCCCTCAGCCTACCTGTCCCACCCTGAACCTGACTCAGAGGGAGGGTTAAGAACAGCTGAATTATGCAGCCGGCTTTATTCCAGTAGGTTCTTGGAGGGGACAGGCTGGATAAGCTTTGAGTCATTCAAAAACTAGGTATATTTGCTGAGAACTTTCTTTTAGAAGAATAAAACCCATACTTTGACCTCAAAGCAGATTTCCATTACGAGTATTACCCGCCCCCCCCAATAAAATAATGTGTGCCAGAGTCCACCTCAGTGGATGTTGGAGACACACATGGGGTTTCAGTACAGTTTAGAACCCTTTACAGAATTCCGTAAAATTAAAACCTTCTTGCAACAATTTTCATTTTGTTGTACTTCATTAAAATGTTGTTGGGTCTCTGACCTGAGAGTTTGTGGCAGGTGGGATGGTTACATGCCAGTATACAGGACACTCCAAACCAGATCCTGCAGCCGTTGGAGAGGTGGCCCAGCTAGCGTCTAGGTTTCTTCCTGGAAATCTTAAGGCCAAGGGGCAGGGGGGTGCACAGTGGCCAACAGGTGCCCCATGTGGAAAAGTTTGCACAAAAGGTCAAGGTGGGAGCGCCTGGTTGGCTCTGTTGGTTAAATGTCCAACTCTTAATTTCAGCTCCGGTCATGATCTCATATTCATGAGATCCGAGCCCCATGTCGCTCTACGCTGACAGCATGGAGCCTGCCTGATATTCTCTTTCCCTTTCTCTGCCCCTCCCCTGCACACATGTGCACTCTCTCCCTGTCTCAAAAGAAATAAACTTCAACAAACAAAAAAACCAGTCAAGGTGTTTGTCCTGGAGTAGAGGAGCTGATGGGCAAGAGCCGCAGTGGCTCAGGCAGCCTTATGAACCACGGGTGGGCCCTCCAGGCCTGTAAATGTGGCTGTGACTACGACTGGCTGTCCAGTGTTGGGTGGCGTGGCCTGAGTGCCGTTAGAATAACACTTTGTCATCGAGTGAATGTGAGGGCGCTGAGGGCTGCTTCTCCCTTTGTTCTAACGTCTTACCAGGTGGGGCCCCTTTCCCCTGCCTGCCTGTGGCGGGCGGAACTCAGATGGGTCTTGTCCTGGAGCCTCTTTTTGTTAGTGGCTCTAGATGGGGCCTGTGGGGAGTTGCCCAAGTGTGTATGCGATAGTGTGAGTGAATTGCTTTGCTGTTGACAAGAAGGGCAGGAGACACCATGAGAGCCCACATAGCCAGGAGTCTGGTTCTGTGATCACAGCCAGGCTGCATAGGGGCATGTGCTTGGCATTGTCAGGAAAACCTAGGTTTTTAGGCCTTTCTGCCAACTTCTCCAGTGGGTAAAGTCACTGCCCTTGGGAAATGAGTGACTGCAAGCCAGGAGTCTTCTGGATAACTTGCTTGGCAAGGACCAAGCCAGTTAAATGCTTCACTAGATGGCCCACACGGAGCATGTGGTGCAGGGGGAGGGTGGCCCACCAAACCGGCTGGTGTGGTTGCTGGTTGTCAGCCAGGCCCTTCAGGGGCCACCCTGGTGAAATTCTTTACAGGGAGGTACACTCTTGCTAGTTCCTCCCCATCGTTACTCTGTATCCAGACTCCTGGCATCACCATTGTCATGTCCCCTGTCCCCCAAGCCTCTGGAGCACACAGGCCTTGCCCTGTGTCAGTAACAGACACAGAGGGTACTAGAGTTAGCCCCTGGCTGACTCCTTCTTGGGGGTCTGGGCTAACAGACCTGGGGGTGCACTGCAGTGTCTCACGTCTCTGCTCTGGGCTTTGTACCTGCTGTTCCCTCTGCCAGGAACAGCCTGCCTTCCTGTCTTTGATGAGCCAGTGATGTTGGTAGAGAGCTCTGTGATCTTAGCCTCACCTTTGCTGTGGTGGTCTTGTGTTTCCTGCTTTCTGCTTCCATCTCCTGTATCACTCCTGCTCTGCAAATGGTTAACAGACCAGCATATCTCCCCTGGGTGTTCAGGAATCCTGTGTGTTCAGGAATTGTTGCTCAAAGCCCAGGAGTCTTCAGAGAAAGACCCTCTGTGAGCCTGAGGACAGGACATGGCTGTCATGGAGGTGCGTTGGCAGCACATAGCACGTACCCGTTTTAGGTGTTGAGTCCATGAGCGTTAATACACCACCTGAGAAGTTGCCTCTGACACCTGTAGCCACTGCCGCTCCCACCCACAGCCCAGGCACTCCCTGATCTACTTCCTATCTCTTTAGTTCTGCCTTTTCTGGAAATTTGTACGAGCAGAGTCATACAATGCAAGATGTCATATGTTGAGGTACTCTCACTTAGCCAGTGGCTTTGGGGTTTGTCCGTGTTGTGTCCATCAGGAGTTTGTCCAACAGTTGATGGATGTTTGGATTGTTGTTGCCTTTTAGATACTAAGAGCAATTCTGTGCACGTTTATGTATAAGTTTTGGTGTAGACCTGTATTTTCATTTCCATTGGGTCTATCCCTTGGGGTGGAAATGCTGTCATGTGGTAACTGTGTTTCACGTTTTTAGAAACTACCAGACTGTTTTCCACAGTGGCTGTGCTGCGTACACCCCCACCAGCAAGTGATGAGCGTTCCTGGGGTATCATCCTTTTTGTTTTAGCCGTTCTGCTAGGTGCGTGGTCTCTCCCTGCAAAGCCTGCATCTCTCTGATGCGTCTTGGCTTCTCACATGCTCACTGGCTGCCTGTAGGTTTTCTTTTTGGTCTCTCTCTTTAACCCAGTTCCAAGCAAAAGCTGCTTAAATGTTGTGTCCTCAGAGCCCAGCCAGGCCAGGGACCCCACAGGGGCTGTGTGTCTCATTCTCTGAACGTCAGGCCAGGCGGGGGTCAGGTTGTGGTTTGTGGGATGGGGCAGCTGGTCCTGAGTCTGCTTTGGAGAAAGCCTGGCTCCTTTCTCTAAAGCACGGTGGACTTTGTGCCTTCAGGGGCTAGTTTCTAGTCCTGGAGCAGGACAGGGGGCTGGGGGACATCCCGTGTCTGACAGCCTGGCAGTGAGAGGTGATGTGCTTTGGAAGTATAGGGTAGCTTCCAGGGTGTCGGGCCCCATGGAGGTAAGGACTGGTACTTGGTGTGATGTCTCAGCACATTTGGAAATTCTGCTGCACCATGTTCAGTGACAAATTGCCCCCGATGACAGAATCCTTGAGATTTGGGGGCAAGAAAGGGGCTTCTGGTAAACAAAAAGGGAAGAGGGGGTACATGTGTGGCTTGTGTGGTCCAAGCCGGCTGAGCCATGTCTGCCTCACACAACCATAGCCCGCAGCCCAGCAGCTCATGGGTCCATGGGCACTGAGAGGCCAGCATGCCCATTGGTTGGTTGGTTCTTTTTTTTAAATTTCGTGTCGTTAGTGGGTTTTTTTAAATGTTTACTTTTTGAGAGAAAGAGGGTGAGAGAGAGCACAGACAGAAGTAGAGAGAGAGAGGAGAGACTCCCAAACAGATTCCATGCTGTCAGTCCAGAGCCCGTTGTGGGGCTCAATCTCAGGAACCGTGATCATGACCTGAGCCAAAATCAAGAGTTGGACGCTTAACCAACTGAGCCACCCATGTATTCTGTTGGCTGGTTTTTCCCTCATATCTGGAGAGCTCCTTTGCCCACACAGGGCCTGCAGCAGGCCTGACGTGCTGAGTGGGGAACAGACAGGGAGCCACTCCAGACACCTGGTGTCTGGGAATGTGGGGACCAGGGGGGAGGGCCTCCCCTCACTGCAGGTGGGGCTCAGCTGGAGCTGGAGAGCCCAGACCCTGGATGCCATCTGAAGAGGGCTGGGGAGGACGGTGGGCACAGAGGCCAGGTGGGTTTGGGGGGTGAGGGAAAGGGTTGTGGTGACAAACTAGGACCATGCTGTGGGGTGGTATCTGCTATGCAGAAGGTGGGTGCTCGAGGCCCAAGATGGGTGAGAAAGAGAGGTGCAACCCTCCATCTGGATCCGTGTTCTTTTTGAAATTCTGACAGAAGGCTGATCTCTGAATAGCTGAAGCTTAAAGTATTTTGAGTTTTTAAGTATATTTTTTCTTGTGACATTTGGAAATTCCGCCATCCCCAGCTCAGTGACAAATTACTCTGAAGCTGTGACGCGGGAGCTGAGCAGGCATTGGGCCCTGTCTTGGCAGAGTGTTTGGTGGGGGTGGGGGAGGGGGGCATCACCTCATGAGCCTGCCTCTGGCCACTAGTGCCCGTCCATGGTGATTCCCTTCTGAGAGGGGGTCTCCGAAGCAAGACAGCCTGGGCTGGTGTTGCTCTGGGGGAGAACAGTGAGGGGCTGCCCACTGCCTGTGTCTCCGCTCTTACTTCTCTTTTTTTTTTTTTACTTCTTATATACGTGGCCCCCACAGCATCCAGGGGCTCCTGCTGACCCTTCAAAATTCAGTTCCAGTGACCTTTCCTGGAATTTTCAGATGCGTATGTGTTTTCTCTTGCGTCTCCTGAAAGCCCTGTCCTTACCCTACTTTTTCTGTGACTGGGAAGTGCATCCTTGGATGTTTGGGTATCTTAATGACATTTTCCCATTTTTCTTTTTTGCAGGATTCTGTTTCGCTGAGACCGTCAATCCAATTTCAAGGAAGTCAAGGGGTGAGTCTCCTTTGTCTCAGTCAGATGTGGAATTGTGACCGGGATGCTCTCTTGCCTCTCTTGGCTTGCTGGGCACAGAAGCAGGCTGGGGGCAGCATTTTGGCCCCATCCGTCTCTGTGTCAGGCCAGGGCCTGTGCCTGTGCCAGGCTGAGGTCTGCCAGGTTGGTCCCACAGCCAGGGCCACACCAAGAGGCTGTCCGGGGCGAATACGGCTTTTCTGTCTGGCAGTCCTTCAGAGTCTCCCCTTCCTTCCTGTAATCAGTGCACAGCTGACTCCTGGGCCCCCAGGCCCCTGTACTGAGCTGATCTCTGTGCTGATTCAAAACCAAGGTGCCCCAGAGGCCAAGTGGGCCTGGAGCTGTAGCCTCCCTGGAAGCTGTTGCCTATTGTCGGACCTGGGACCGTGGGTGTCTGATTTTGGTACTGAGCTGCCGGCCCAGGGGGTGGGTATAGAAACTCAGCACTCCAATTTTTGTGAAGTGTATTTATTTCATTCTAAATGGCCATCTTACAGAAAAATTGGAGAATAAAAGAAAGGATGAGTTGTCCACAATCCTTTTCCCAAGGCTTCGGACTCACTCTCCACTCCCCAAGTCCCTTACCCACCAAACGTGTCTTGTAACAGTGGTTTTCTTGTGGTCTTTATTGCAAGTCTTTTTTTTTTTTTTTTTTTTAATCTGAAGGGTTGCCACAAGTGTCTAAATCAGTTAGTTTGCACCTGACAGCTGGCCCACCACCTCCTTGAGGAGAAGATCTGTGGGTTTCACCCCTGCCAGGGTGCTCCTGAAAGACAGAGCCTCTAGAAGGATCCACATGTCTGTGTGTGCAGATACAAAGATACCAGGAGATACAGTGCAAGGGATTGGCTCCCATAGCTGTGTGGCTGGTGAGGCTGAAAGCCGTCCACGGGGATGGCAAGAATGGGCACTGTGGTTCATAGGGGAGCCTCTTTCTCCTCTGGGAAACCTGTTTCCTTCTTAAGGCCTTCAGCTGATTGCATGAGGCCCACTCCGACCATTGAGGGTCATTTTCTTAAAGTCAGCTGTAGATGCCAGGCGCACATATGAACTGAACTGAACTGACATGATTACCAAGACCAGTTAAAGTCAGCAGGACCCCTTGAAAGGCCCCAGACTCCTCGCTCCCCCAGTTCCTCCTCTGGGACTCCTACACCTCTGTTTGGTCCCATCAGTCTTGTGGCAGTCTTCCCTTTATGGTCCCTGGGACATTTTCCCAAGGGTCGAGGTCAGTGTTGGGGGACTGGCTTCCCTCGGTCTGCTGCCAGACTGGCCCCATGGTGCCCTCTGGTGGCCAATGGTCATGCTGTACCCTCAGTAGTCGGGAAGATAAGGAAGCAGATGCCTGGAAAGGGCCACTAAAAGCAGTGGCTTATCCTGTGAGCAGCATATTCTGGCCAGCAAGACCCCACACGGCTGCTCACAGAAGCCACAGAAGCACCATGAGGCTCTCCTGGGCCATGCTTTGTGTCACCCAAATTTCTGTGCAAAGCCTGAGAGCCGCATCTATTCAAGTTAGGGGTCCTACCACCTTAGAGTGAGAGTCATGCTTTGCCTACTTTCCTTCTGGATTTTCTTATGTGTAACAGAGTTTCTAGAAGGTTCTGACGGTTCAGATGCCCTGTGCCACAGCTTTGGGCAAATCAGGCCATAGTTCTCCACTAGGAGGCTCTTCCCTTTGGGAGCCTGAGTGAGAGCTGTGCCAAGTGGAGAGGAGGGGTGCTGTTCTTTCCCTGCTTGCTGTGAAGGGTCAGGCACCAGGTCTGCCCTCTGTGTCTGGTCCTCATCCTTCTCTTCCTGGGCATTGATGGGATGCATCCCCTACTCCCTTCCAGGTGTGAGGGGCCTGGCCTGGTGCTGGGCACATAGCAGACACTTTTCCTGGCCAGACCACATCTGCATAGTCACCATGCTGCCAGAGGGGACAGGGTGCCCGGGCTCCCCCCTCCCACCTCTCCTGGCCGCTGAACTGCTTGTGCATAGCTGAGGTTGGGGATGGGGCCAGTGAGGGGTAGGGCTGGGCAGGCCCATTCAGTGGTCATGGTGCAGGGGCCGAGTCCATGTTCCAGGCTCTGCATAGCGTGACAAGGACCCTCTTTCCCAGAGGCCCATGAAGCTGACAGACCGAAGATCTATAGGCCCTTAGCTCAGGGCCCTTGGCCAGTTCAGCCTCCTTGCCCAGGAGATGGGCTCTCTGCTCTGGGGGTTGTGTGTGTGGGTTAATGAGGACCTAGGAGAACCAGTGTCCTTGTAGCCAGAACAAGCGCTTCAGCGCCTAGTGCATGTCCCCCTTGGTGTGCACACCCAGCATAGGGCCTCCGTGTCAAGCACTGTCAGGTAGGGTAGTAGGGGTCCGATCTGGCCTGGCCGCTGCCCTGCCTCTGCTTGTAAGCGCCATGAGAGCCAGGCCTGCCGAGGGAGGTTGTGGTGTGTGGCGGGGCCCTGTGTTGGCTAGTTCCTTGGCGTGACTAGCGGCATTTGCCAGGTTCCCCAGAATGCCTGGCCCAATTGTAGCACGTTAGGCCCCTAGGGTGTCAGGTGCCAGAGCAAAATGTTCATCTGTGTTTCCCTGCCATGTATACATTTGCGTTTATGTTCTCTGCCCTCTCCTGAACACTGAGTTGGCTGGGCTGGGCCCCTCTGCTCTCTGGGGCTCACTTTTTTTTTTAAGTTTATTTTATTCATTTTGAGAGAAAGAGGGAGAGAGAGAATCCCAAGCAGGCTCCGCACTGCTAACAAACTGTGAGATGTGACCTGAGCTGAAATCAAGAGTTGGATGCTTAACTGACTTAGCCACCCAGGTGCCCCTGGGGCTCACTTCTGAGTTGTTAACGTCTGACAGCTGGTGAAAAGTCAGCCTCCAGAGGGGAAAAGAAACCTCCACCTGGCTGGCCCCACCCCAAAACTCTTCAGTTGATGAAAAAAGAGAAGTGGGGGTGGTGTCCAGGGCATTTCAGCGTTGCGGCATTTCCCTGTGCTGCAGCAGGAGCCTGAACTGCCATTTCTGGAATGAGGCTTGGCAGGGCTGATCAGAAGCCTTTGTCCAGTTTCTGTCTGTGTGTCTGGGAGCCAGCTCTGAAGGAGCAGTCAGGGATGTACACAAGATTGGGGCACAAGGGTGCTCATTGCTGGGTGGTCACAGGGACAATTGGAAAACAGTCTAAAACATTTCTAAGAGGGGGTGTTGTGGAACCGGGAACCACCTGTGTGCCAAGGGTGAACAGGGCCAGGGGCGTGCGCTCCCGCTTCCGAGCATCCTCGGTGAGTGAGGGCATGAGGGCGGCTCTTGGAATGCAGGGAGGTGCTTAGAATGCACCCTGGTGTTGGGGTTAAGGGAGTGCCCCTGGGCCGAAGTGGCTGCTTTGCTCTTGGAAGTCAAGTTCAGCTGGGCAACGGTACCTCTCTTTACCCAGAATATGTTGTATTCTGAGGCTCCTTCAGGAAGCAAATGTTGCCTGGAACCTCCTCTGGCCAGAGAGAACCTGGTCAGGTGGAGTTTGGGTTCCTGTGCGTACCTGTTTATTTGGTTCTTACCTGCACGGAATGTCAGGTGCTTCCCACACCAAGACTTGATGTGCCTTTTCACAACTCCCACCTACACCGCACGCAAGAGCCTGTGGATCAGGGGGAGGTGGCAGGCCCCTCCTAGGACAGATTTTAAAAGGAGGAGGTGAGCGGGTGACTCAGTCAGTTAAGTGTCTGACTCTTGATTTCAGCCCAGGTCATGTTCTCACAATTCCTGAGATCAAGCCCCACCTCTGGATCCACACTGACCGTTTGGAGCCTGCTTGGTATTCTCTCTTGTTCTCTCTGCTCCTCCCCTGCTTATAGGTGCTCATTCTCTCTCTCTCTCTCTCTCTCTCTCTCTCTCGATAAATAAATTTTAAAAACAAGGCCGTGAAAGGGCTCCGGCAGGCACCTGTGCCCCCTTGCAGGCCTCAGAGGCACTCAGGGCCGCCCAGGAAGGACAAGCTTGTTTGCTGTTCCAGGCCTGTGCACACAGGCACTCAATTAGGCTTAGAGTGACTCCTCCTGCCCCCATAACTGCAGTCAGGGCTGACCTCAGAGGCACCCAAACCTACATGCCCAGGCCAGCTGAGGGCCACATGGTGGCCCCCGTGGGGCAGCCGAGACTCGGCCCAGAAGGCACATGCTCCAGCCGAGCAGGGCTGACTGTCGGGCCACATTCTGGAACATGTGCCAGGCTCTTTGCTGGCACAAAGAAAGCCATGCATTCCTGGTCTATTCATGCCCAGATGGGAAATTTCCTTGCTTGGTTCTCACTGACTGGTAACCAATAACCAGCACCATTAAGGAGCGGCAAAGCAGCCTGTTAACCAAAGGAGTCCTCAGGCCATGATAGGGCTGTGGTGGGGCTGGGGCTGAGAGCACTGGCCACACCAGGCTCCCAGCAAACCTCCCCTCTGCTTCCCTGCTTCCCCCACTCGGGTGCCCACCCCCACCTTTGTCCTGGAGGATACTAGTGACCTCTGTGTGTATCTCCCCTCTCCAAGCAGCATCACATCTCCCATGCATCAGTTTCAAAGCCCTGGGTTTCCCACCATCCTGTGGTTCCAGTAACTACACAAATCCCCCTCTGGGCCTGTGCTGGGAGCCCCACTTCCAGGATGAATTTTGGAGGTGGGCGTGCACACCTGTGTGGAATAGGTTTAGATGGCGTAAAAGGGTCACAGTGAAGAGTCCCCACAGGCCCCACCCAGAGAGAGGCACTTTGGGCCTCGGGCCTTACCTCCTTCCCTCCCTTCAGGGGTGACAGCCCAGTGAGGACCATTGCCCTCGAGGCAGCCACTGTCCTCTGAGCAGTCTGAGATGGAAAGTGCCACATGGGCAGGTCGCACCTCCATCAGAGCCAGGCTGAGATGAGGGAGAGGGTCAAGGGTGGTGTGGAGGAAGAGGATCGGCAGGGGTGTCGGGCCCTTGAAGCTACTTTCAATTTGCTGACTCTGGGGCACAGGAGCTTCCTGCTGCATTCTGGGCAACTGCATTAGTGCGTCTCCTGCAGGGACCCTCGGCAGCCTGAGCCTCAGCATCTGGGCAGCATGTTTCCAGCTACTTCTGTGATGGAGGACGAAAGTCACCTCCAAGAAGGGATGGTTGGGCAGCACCAGATGGCCACAGGTGTTAGTCAAGGAGGTGTCGTACAGGCAGGACAGGGCCCGACTGCCTGGTCTGGGAGCCGGTCTGCACTGTGTTGGCCCTCACTGTGCACGTCTGGAGCCTCTCCTTGGGGCAGGGACTGACTGTAGGCTGGGCAGGTCCCTCAGAATTTTGGGGCCAACTCCAGGCGAGGTGCACCTGCAGGCTCCCTTATGGGTCCACACACCACCCTGAGGAGCGTGGCAGGGAGGCCACGAAGCCGGGTCAAGAGGGCAGTGGCCCTCCTTGTGGCCTGGGCCACCGTGTCCTCAGTCTCAGACAGCTGAACTGCCCTTATTTACCTATGACAGCTGGGCAGGGCTGGAATTCAGCTGGGGCCACGTTCGGTCCCGTGCTGATGAGGCATGGTGGTCTCACATCAGTGGAGAAAAAACAGGGCTTGGGCAGCCCGAGGATAAGGCCTGAGTGGGGCCTGCCCACCCCCTCAACCTCCATTTACCACTTATACCCCCCTTGTGTGCCTAGCTGGGATGAGCTCCTGCACTCAAAACCCAGGGATTATTTTACCAGGGGTTGCCACTGGTGACAGAGAGTTCCGGAGGCCCATCTTGCGCCACAAATATGGGCCAGCAACCAGAGCATGGTATCTTCCCACCAGCTTCCTCCACAGCCCCCAGGACTTCAACCCAGTGAGGGGTGGCCTGGAATGCCACCCTGGCCTGTGTGCGCAATGCTATCCCACCTGTGCTGAGCCCTGCATCTTGGCCAGGACCATTGCTGTCTGTCTGTCTGCCGGCCAGGCTGTCCAACTCTTCTGCAGAGTCACTGTGCAAAGTCAGGGTTATATTAGCCAAGACATTCATCCTTTGTCACGTGTACCCGTGTCATGGTTTGTTGGGGGTGAGTGTGGCCCATCTGTGAGCCCCTCAGAGCCTGCACCTGCCTTGATCTTGGCTGCAGGACAGAGAATGGACATCCAGGTGGAGTCTGTCTCCCACAGGGGAGCAAGGGTTGGAGCAAAGCGGCTGCTCAGTGTGCACTGATGGCTACTGATGCCCGTCTGTCTGATTTCATCTTCACACATGGCCCAGGCCAGATCTGCCCCATTAGCTGGGTGGGAAATTGGCTCATGGCCCAGATCAGGGTGGGGTCCATGTCTTCGGGTGTGTACTAAGCGCTCTGTGCTCCTCAGACCGACGTGTCATGCTTAGAAAGCACTGGCACTTCCTCCTTGTGTCAAGCAGTGGGGGGCGGTCTGGGGTCCAATGGATGGCCCATCCCACGGTCCCCTCTGTGTTGTGGACCTCCCAGTGATGTTTCTCCCTGTCCATGCAGCACATCTCCATCCCCCAGCCTGACTGCCCCACGGAGGCACGGACATTCTCCTTCTACCTCTCCAACATTGGCCGTGACAACCCCCAGGGCAGCTTCGACTGCATCCAGCAATATGTCTCCAGGTGAGGCCCCATCTGGGCCCAGTGCCCCCTTCTTCTTCTTCTTCTCCTTCTCCTCCTCCTCCTCCTCCTCCTTCTTCGGGGGGTGGTATTTATCTAAGTAATCTCTATACCCAGTGTTGGACTTGAACTCACGACCTCAAGATCAAGACCCGCCTGCTCTGCTGACTGAGCCACCCCGGCCACCCCAGTCCCCCCTTCTTGTACATGAGCCTTGCTGCTGCTTTCAGCGTGTCCAGGGCACAGGTGCAGCTCTTGGCCTGCTGCCTCTGCCTGGGGGCTTGGGTTCCCTTGTTTCTTCCAGGTCAAGATATGCCGTGTGGAAACCATGCTGCTCAAGTGAGCACTGGCCCCGTTTCCAGCTGAGGGTATTGGAGCAGGGTGGGGCACGGGCGCCCAGACCGTCTCCCCTGTCATCCTAGGAGTTCACCGAGGCTCCTGGCCCCTTGTCTTGCAGCCACGGGGATGTCCACCTGGACTGCCTGGGCAGCATCCAGGACAAAGTCACAGTGTGTGCCACTGATGAATCCTACCAGAAGGCACGACAGAGCATGGCACAGGCCGAGGAAGAGACACGCAGCCGTGGGGCCATTGTCATCAAAGCTGGAGGCCGCTACCTGGGTGAGGATGTGGCTGCGGCTCCACCTGTGGGGGACCCAGGCCCACTGGGCAGCTGTGGTGGGGAGCAGCAGGGACTGAGGGCCTGTCCTGGCCAGGAGCGGGAGTGATGGGTTGATAGAGGTGCAACCCAAGCAGGGGGTGCTGGGTCGTGGTCAGGCCAGACAGGAAGGTCCTACTGCGCTGGTCGAGTCTGCTGGGGGCTGTGGCATCTGCTGGTTGCCCAGTTTGAACATGAGCCCCTAGAACTCCAGGAATTCTGAATCCACGGGCCCTCCTCCCAGGCTCTGGCCTCAGGAACCCCGACCCCTCAGGGAGCTACACACGCTCCTTGGCAGCAGGGCTGGGGTCTGTCCTCCAGCTGCCACTCCTGCTCTCACCTGCCTGGCTGGCCAGCGGCAAGGTGCTGATGGCAGGATGTGCCTCATGGCAGATGGCCTGCTGCTGGGTCGGGGCCAGAGAGGGGCTGTCGGGTCACAACTGGGAAGGAAATGGTGTTGATTTCTGGCTGGACGAGAAGGCTCTGGCAGCTCCTCATCTGCTTGGAAACAGTTCTGGTGAAGCTGAGACACCAACAGCACGAAAAGTGTTTACTTTTAGGAAGCTCTGTTCTTGCATTAGTCTTCCCAGCACCTCGACCCAGACAAGTTCAAGAGTCATCAGGATTCAAGGCCAGGAGGAAGGGCGTTAGGCCTGAGAAAGGCACAACATGGCTTACAGCAAACAGGACCTTAATGGCTTTTGGGGTTAAGAGAAGGTGGGAGGATTTCAAAGAGCCCCAGAGGAGCGTGTGACTTCACTGGCTGGGCGGTGGGGTTGGCTCTGAACGAAACCCAAGACGTCAGTGCAGGGGCCCATGCTGCCAGGGAATGCCACGTCCTGGTGGCCATGGCCGTGCATGCCAAGGGGGCCCAAGTCCGGGCTGGGAGCTGCTGTCGGGGACAGAGCCTCGGGAATCCGGAAGTGCTTCCCCTGCCTGCTCTCGCCTCAGTGTGCAAATGTGGACACTCATAAACATCTTAGTAAGTTTCTGGGTCCTGCGGTCAAGAGCTTGGTCAAAAGTGTGGCTTGGTTTCGGTTCTGGTGGTAGCTCTTGTCTCCTGGCCTCTGAAGGCATAGTCTTGCACGTCCCTCTGTGTCAGGCCTCTCTCTGACCCTGCGTCGGCCCAGCAGCTGGGTCCTCTGGGACAGAGTCTGGCCCTAAGGATTTTGACAGCACTTCTTCCCCTATTCATTTGACAAATGAGATTTAAGGGATGAGAGCAAAACACAAGTTCTTGCAGAGAGCTTTCTGGCCCAAGGACGTGAGGCACGCGCTGACCTCACTTGGCCGTGCATGTTCCCTCAGTGGCTGTGCTGCCGTCCGGGTGGGGTTCACAAGTTCTGAGCAGAGGCCCCTCCCTCAAGAGCAGTGCTGGAGTCTGTTCACACTGGGGGGGTGGGGATCTGGCTACTGCCCCCCTCGCCGGGACTCTGAGCACAGTTGTGTCTCCAAGAAGCCCTTGACGGGGTTGCAACCTGGGGAGCTGCTCGTACCCCGGGGTCTCCAGAAAAGCTGCCCAAGTAGCCCCCTACCTTTATTCACCTCTCCTTTATCATAAAAGAGAATGGTGGACCCTGTGGCTGGATGGTGCTATAATGTGCAGGCTCTGGGGACGCCTGCCTCTGGCCAGTCAGGAACCCTACCCTCTTTATCAGCCCCCTCTCCATATAGCCATCAGGCTGCCCTTGATGAAATCCATTAAAGCTCTGAACATGCTTCTGTTTCCTGCAGCTCCCGCTTCTGACACTGGGGGCCCCCTGAGTGCCGGGTGAGCTGTGTGTGGTCAGCAGGTGGTGTTCTCGGCTCTCCAGGTCCCCACGGAGCAGGCCAGGCAGGATGGGGCACCAGCTGCCTTCCCCTTGGGCTGTCAGCTGTCAGTAGGCATCCATGCACTCACTCAGGGCTCAGCACCAGTCCCAGGCAGAGGGACACAGAGGCCACACCCCCTCACCCCCTTAAATCCCTAACGCCTTGGCTCTTGTTGCAGGCAAGAAGGTTCAGTTTCGGAAACCGGCCCCGGGGGCCACGGACGCCGTGCCCTCCCGGAAGCGGGCAACACCGATCAACCTGGCGAGTGCTATCAAGAAGAGCAGTGTTGGTGGCATTAGTGGGGGTGGTGGGGTGTCTCAGAGGCCCTTCCGTGACCGAGTGCTGCACCTCCTGGCGCTGAGGCCCTATCGGAAGGCTGAGCTGTTGCTCCGGCTACAGAAGGACGGCCTGGCTCAGGCCGACAAGGATGCTCTGGACGGCCTCCTCCAGCAGGTTGGTGCTTGCCCGGGGCCAGGTCAAGGGTCCAGTCAACCTTGAGTGGCCTCTGAGAGGGTCTGGACCCAGGGGTGCTGGGCGGAGCCCTTCCTGGGATCTCTTCCAAGATTCGCATCCTACCTCAGAAACTCGGTCTCCTGGGTTCGGACCTGCCTACGGTGTCCCAGACACGTTGCAGGCCACGGTGCTTGTCCGGTGGCCCTGAGGTTGGCTCAGAGGGAGGCCAGCACACTCCTCCTTGCTGTTTGCTAACAGGCAGCAAGCACAGCACAGAGGATCCAACAAAGACTTCAGTTTCCTGAAGATTTTAGAATGTAAGGAAGCCCGGGTGACCGCACGTGTGAGTTAACAGGAGCACAGGCTCCACAGCTGGGCTTCCTGCCACATGCCAGCCATGGCTCTGGCCAAGGAGCTTCACGTGTAGACCCCCCAGGCTTCCCTGTGTGGCTGCAGCTTGCCTGCAGTGCCTCTTGAGGGGTTGAACGTGAGATCAGTGGATGGAGCCATGGTTAGGGAACAGCTCAGGCTTTGGAGCCGGTGGGGTGGGCCTGTCTCCCACAGCCCTGGAGGGAGTCCGAGGACCCCTGGGAAGGTGAGCGGCTCACTCTGGCTTTGCCACATCAGCCGGGCCGTGCAGACACCCCCTTGCTGCGAAGTGGAGATGGGCCACCGTGAGCCCTGCTGTGAGGTCCTCATGGCTGGCGTGACAGTGGCACCCTGTGGAGGAGGCATGGCCGAGCCTCTAGGGGTTCTGCCTGCCAGCTTACTTGGCCCTCCTGCACCGCACCTCAGACGCCCCAGGCACACGGTGCTGCAGACCTCACGTGCTGTGGCAGTGGGTAGCTGTGTCTGAGGATGAGCCACGGGGTTCACTGCCCCTCACGTCACCGGGACCCTGGCATCGGGGGCCTCCACGTGGCAGGAACGCCTGTGTGGATGTGACCTTTTGAGCCACCATCCCCCACTCAGAGGTTGTGCAGGCGAGGACTAGGCTTTACGGTTTTTCCTTTGGAGCTCACGGGTTGGCTCGAGGCCTGTTAGAAGACAGACATGTAGCTTGATGGCTCAGAAGTTTTTTTTGGCAGAGGGGTTTGCCAAAGCGTCCAGAAAGCTCCAGAACCAGTAACGACGTTCCTAGGGGGCTTGTTTCCTTGGGAAGTCACAGGTGTCAGCCTTATCCGTGGAAACTCAAGGGAAGCACAGCGGAGGCCCTTCCCCTGGGCTGGAACTCAGAGAGAATGAGGCAGGGCTGGCGGATTGCCAGGTCTTCAGACATGAACCAGGACTGAAGACACAGGTGGGACCTGTGCCCACCCCTGGCCGTGCCTGTAGCCCACACCGCTGCCCAGTCAGGCCACCATCGGCTCCTGCTGTGGTGGTCCTGGGAACGCCCTTGCTCCCACCTTCCTCTCTTGCCCTGTACGTGCCCAGCTTGGAGAAGAGGCATGTGAACCCCTCAAACCAGAATGTGAAACTTAACTGCCCGAGCACAGTTACACCTGAGATTGACCCTCTGAGCAATCCTCAGATGCGGTGAGAATGCCGGCCTCAGTTTTCCAAAGAGATGAGGATCTGGCGGTGCTGATGTCGTTCTGCCAGGGGTTTCTGCTGCTTTTTTAACCTCTGAGATGCTCTCGTTGCTCCCAGCCCTTTCCCAGGACCCAAGAAGCACCGTGCTGGGCTCTGGCCTCTTAGGTCGATTTGGATTCAGCAGCTTCCTGTGGTGTCTGTGGCAGAGGGTCCTCCCTGTGTCTACTCTGATTTCTTCTAAATAATGGCCCCATCTGTCTTGTGCTACTGTGCTTACTACCCAGCTTGTTCTCCGTGGTGGCCATGGGCAGTCGCAGGACCCCATCAGCTGGGAGTACCACTGGCTGAGCCTTGCCCAGGCCGGCCATTTCCAGCCCCCACGTGATCAGGGATTCCGATGAGCAACACAGACAAAACCGCACTCCTCAGAGGCACCTTCTCTCTTCCTTCTGCGAGAACATCCAAAGCAGAGACTGAAAGCATCTGTCTCCGGTGCTGGCGGGGCCTCAGAGAAACCCACAGGCTCGTCCTCCGTGGGTGGGATTGTTGAGGGGTGGGTGGCTCTTCTGGAGAGCATTTTAGCAAAATGCATCAAGAGCCATAAAAATGTTCAGAGCCTTTGACCCATTAATCCCACTTCTGGGAAGCTGGCCGGAGGAAGACGTCGCCAGCATGGCAACCCTGCATGCAGTGGTGTCTGTTTATATGCTGCAGAGAAACCAGAAATAGCATCAGCATCCAACAGAGGAGAGATGTTTGAGTAAATCACAGTGCAGATGTTTGGTGGAATATTACTCAACCATTAAAAAATGTTCCCTGTGGAAACTGCTGTGACATGGAGTCCTCTCAGAAGCCCGTGAGAGTAAAACGCAGCTGCAGCGCCAGCTCCCCGCAGCCGTGCACCAGGGGCCCGGTGAGATAGTCACCGAAGTATCCGCTCTGGGGCAGGACCTCAACTTCCATAAGCATCCTCAGGGTCAAGGTTTTGAGCCTGTCTTCACAGTCTTGGAGGCCAGCTCGGCCTTTGTTAACCCGCCTGAGCAGGGCTGGCTGGTTGCAGGGAAGGTGGACTTAGCCTGGCCCCTAGAGGCCCCAGCTACCCTGTCCTCCACCGTGTCTGCCCCTGGAGTGCGTGTCCGAGAGCGGGTATTGGTCTGTTCAGGCTGCTGTATGAGAAAAACATAAACTGGTGGCTTATAAACAACAGGCGTTTACTTCCCACAGTTCTGGAGGCTGGGAAGTCTAAGATCGAGGCGCCACCAGATTGGCTGTTTGGTGAGGCCCCTCCCAGTTCACAGACTGGGTCTTGCCGCTGTGTTATCCCGTGGCAGGAGTCTCGTGTGGGGGCACTGCTCCCATTCGTGAGGGCTCTAAACCCTCATGACCTAATCACCTCCCAAAGGCCCCACCTCCTAATACCATCATTTTGGGTATTAAGATTTAACATGAATTTGGGGAAGATAAAACATTCAGTGCATAACAGCGGGGGAGGCTGGTGATGGGGTCCTAGAAGTAGGGATGGCACCGCCCCCCGCCCCCGCCCCCTTTGGAGCCAGCCTGTCTTCCAGCAGCTATAAGACGTCTGTCAGGACCTGGTGTTCCAACCCCTTTGCATCCCAAGGCTTGCTGCCTTCATGTGCAGGGGATCTGGGGGGGGAGGGGTACTGTCCTCTCCTCCCCCCCCCCCCCCATCAAATGCTTTCAGGTAACTTCTGCCTCTCCTGGGCTTCCCGCAAGGTGATTCTGGTTCTTCTCCCAGGTGGCCAACGTGAATGCCAAGGATGGAACATGCACGCTGAAGGACTGTGTATATAAGGACGTGCAGAAGGACTGGCCTGGCTACTCGGAGGGGGACCAGCAGCTGCTGAAGCGGATGCTTGTCCGGTAATGCCGCCTCCCATCTCTGGGTGTGTCGCCACACCCTGGTCCTGGGCCAGATCTCCTCCTGAGGATGCTGGGGTGTCCCTTGAGCAGAATGGAAGGATCCGAGATCTCTGGCAGCCTTTCCCTCTGCCTGGGATGCCTCAGTGCCCAGGCAGCCCACCGTGGTCCCCTGTCAGGGAAAGGCCAGCCCCTGCTGAGTGGAGTGGAGGCCACCAGTCACTGTCCCAGACACCAGAATGCCCAGACAGAAGGATGCAGTCGCCCAGCTTAATTCCAGTGCCTCCTGTCCTTTTCTGTCAGGCTCCCTTCCCAAACCTGCACCCCCCTGCCCCCCCGTAGCTTCTACTGCAGGCTGCCCCCTTCTTCCAAAGACCCTCTCAAGATCCTGAAGCAGAGAGAAACAAAGCAAAACAAAACTCCCCACAGACATGACTAAGTAGCATTAATTAAACACATTCCCTCTCAGATTAATTGGGACCTGAGGTCAGGAGTGGCCTTGGTGGCCCAGGGGAGGAGTGGTTAAGTAGGCCCCTGCCTGGCTCAGGCAAGCAATTAATGATTTCCTTCTCAGCTGATGCCTGACATGGGAGTTCGGCTGTGAAGCGGCGTTCAGAGCAGGCTGATACACTAATTAGTCCTTAAGTGATTTCTCAGGGACCTGGAGTTACTTATGGGGGGGGGTGTGTGTGTGTGTGTGTGTGTGTGTGTGTGTGTGTGTGTGTGTGTGTGTGTGTGTGTGTGTGTGAAGTTCAGCTGTTTAAAGCACTAATTGCATGTAGAGAGCAGAGCCGACTTGAGGCCACTCTAGGTGAATCCGGAGTTTCTCGTCAGCCCTGCCAGGCACTCCTCCCCAAGCCAGTACCTGTGTCCGGACCAGCCTAGGGTCACGGCTCTGGCTGCCAGAGGTCTTGGGGAGGCTGAGAGGAGAGGTTTTCAGCAGAAGACCACCTCCACCCTCATCCCTCTCAGGTCTCCTGTTGCCCCAGCTGAACACAACTTGGGTTGACCACTGTTGAAATGGTCAAATTCACCCACCCAAGTGCTTGGAGGTGGTGAGGGGCACACGAGGGACACTGCAAGGCTGTTCCTGTCCTCCCTCCCTTCAGAGCCTCTAACTAAGTGGCTGCTGTTCTCAGACCCTGAGGGACTTGGCCACACAGAGCTCCCCACAAGGGGCATGGCCAAGAGTAAGTAGCGCGTGTGCGCGTGTGTATAGTTGGGGGGAATCTCAGCTCTGGAGCTTCATGCAGTTCCGGGCTCATATCCTCCCTGCTCCGCTGAGTGAGCTGCCAGACTCGAGTGCACCCAAGGCAGTTGGCTTTGGCCCGGACCAGCGTGGTGCTCCGCTCTGTGCCCAGGCCAGCCTCAGGATCAGCCTTGCCAGAAAGCACTCGACTGGCCAGCAGCACCCACTGTGCTTCCTTGGAAGCTTAAACTGGTTGGAGTGCAGAAGTCAGGGTCAGCATCTTCGATGCCTGCAGGCCCACTGAGGTGACCCTAGCCACCTGTCTGCTCAGTTCTTTTTTAGGTGGTTGACTCCCCAAAGAAAACCCCATTGAGAGCAGTTCTCGAAGCCATGGCCCCATGGCAGGAAGGCAAACTGGGGCCTTGGGATATTTCTGCTGGTGGGGATCAGGGGCCAGTGTTACCCCAGAAGCTGGGCCACCTCCTTTTCCTACAGCTTATTCAAAATTCATACCTGAGTTAAGCACACTTACACTTGCGGAGTCTGCCTGGGCCCCTGAGGCTTTGCTCTACACAGACACCTACTTCCTGCATCCTTTTGATTCTTCCTCTGTGCTTCTATCCCCCGTGCGTGTAACTGCTGGGGCCTGTCCTGCCCCAGGTGATCCCAGTGCACCCTTGCCTGGCCCTACGCTCGCTCCCCTCGACCCTGCCACCGCCCACGCTTGTCCTGGCCCTGCTTCCCTGAGGCCAGGTGTCTGGACTGTGCACCGGATCACAGCCACCACCCCATTGCACATGCTTTCTGTACACTTGGTAGCCTGCCTGGCTGCCCTGTCGCTTTCTCCGCTTATCTTATTGTCCCTCATGACCCAAGCTTCCCCTGGTTGTCCCATGGCCTTTTGTCACTTTCAGTGGATCAGTGGTCCTGCGGATTCCCCCAGGGGCCGCTCCACTCCTGTTCCCCTCTCACTCTCCTCTCACTCTTCTCGCTCCTCTCGCCCTCCCTGTGCAAGCTCTCCCATTCCTGTGTCTGCGATTCTGCCCTGGTGCTGAAAGGATACAGCTCCTGAGGAAAGGGCTTTGATTGGTCCCTGTGCCATAGCGCAGTCAAATTGGATTGGCAGTTGCCCAAGTCTGGGCCTTCAGATCCTGAAGATTTTTGCCTCCACGTTGAAGGCCTGGTCACAGGGATTGGAGGTTCCCCGCCTGGCCCTTTGTACATCTGCACGTCTGCATGGTCACAGGTTGGCCTGGGAGGTGCTCTGGGGTGAGCGTCTCTGCTCTCACAGCCTGCAAACTCCTGTCACCCCCTTCCCACCCTGTGTGTGCTTCCGAAAAGGCTTCCTGTGCCCCTCAGGCATCCTCCCTTTAAGTGGGGCGGGGGGGGGGGCAGAAGTGGGGGAGGGTGGCAGAGGTACGAGGTGGGGGCTGTGCTCCGTAAACTGTTCGCTTTCGCATCTTCCCCGTTGTATGTCGCTCCCTCTTTTCAGCTTCTCCTGTCCCATCTCTTCTGCCGTTGTTTCCAGTTCCCACTGGTCTTTGGTCTGGTCTCTTGTAGCATCACATTCTCATTCCATAGGAGTGATGTTTTTATTTTAAAATTTTTTATTGTTGAAATATAGTTGGCATACAGTGTTACATTGGATTCAAGTCTACAGCATGGTGACATGACAGGCCTGTACATTCCGCAGTGCTCGCCAGTGTGTGCGGTCACCATCTGTAAACCTCAGGGCCGCCACAGTGTCACGGACTGTATTCCCCGTGCTGTACTTTTTGTGCCTGTTCCAGTGACTTAATTATTTGATAACTGGAAGTTTGTGCCTCTTAATTCCCTTCACCTATTTCTGCCACCCTCCATGCCCCTCCCCTCTGGCAACCACCAGTTTGTTCTCTGTATTTATGAGTCTGTTTCTCTTTATTTGTTTGTGTGTTCATTTTATTTATTTATTTATTTCATCTTACTTTTTAGATTCCACATATAAGTGAAATAATATGGTGCTTGTTTAACTTATTTCACTTAGCATAATACCTTCTCGGTCCATCCATATTGTTACAGAAGGCAGGATCTCATCCTTTTTTATGGTTGAGTCGTATTCCATTGTTTTTACATACCACATCTTTTTTATCTGTTCAGCTATTAGCGGACACAGGGTGCTTTCATGTGTCAGCTAGTGTGAATAATGCTTCAGGTAAACATAGGAGAACTTGTGTATTTTTGATTTGCTTTTTTGTTTGTTTGTTTGTTTCCTTTGTATAAGTACCCAGTGGCGCTATTGCTAATTGTCGGGTAGTTCTATTTTTAAATTTTTGAGTGGCCTCCATACTGTTTACTACAGTGGCTGCCCCAGTTTGCATTACTCCCAACAGTGCGGGAGGGTTCCCTTTTCTCCCCATCCTCACCAGCACTTATTTCTTGTCTTTTTGATACTAGCCGTTCTGACAGGTGTGAAGTGATATCTCATGGTTTTGATTTGCATTTCCCTGATGACTAGTGATGTTGAGCATCTTTTCCTGTGGCTGTTGGCCATCTGTAGGTCTGTGGGAAAATGTCTGTTTTTTTGGGGTTTGTTTTTTTCTTTGGTGTTGAGTTGTATAAGCTCTTTTTATATTTTGGGTATTAATCCCCTAGCAGATGTAGAATTTGCAAATGTCTTTTTCTGTTCAGTAGGATGTCTTTTTGTTTTCTGGATGTTCCTTTGCTGTGCAAAAGCTTTTCATTTTGCGGAAGGCCTAATCGTTTGTGCTTTTTCTTTCCCCTGCCTGAGGAGATGCATCCATAGGTATGTTGCGAAGCTCGATGGATAAGAGATTACTGTCTGTGTTTTATTTTAGGAGGTTTATGGTTTCAGGCCTCACATTTAGGTCCTTAATCCATCTTGAGTTTTGTTTTGTGTATGGTGTGAGCAGGTGGTCTGGTTTCATCCTTTGGCATAGAGCTGTCCGGTTTTCCCAGCGCCGTTTATTAAAGAGACTGTCTTTTCCCCGTGGGATAGTCTTGCCTCCTTAGTCATGGGTTAATTGACCATTCAAGCGTGGGTTTATTTCTGGGCTGTCTACTCTGTTCCATTGATCCATGTGTCTATTTCTTGTGCTAGTACTATGCTGTTTTGATTATTGTAGCTTTATATCTTAAAACGTGGGATTGCGATGCCTCCAGCTTTGTCCTTCTTTCTCACAATTCAGTGACATTAATTATATTCACAACGGTGTACAACTACTACCTCTAGCTGGTTCCAGAACCTGTACCCAAAAATGGAACCCCACATCATCAGACACTCCCTTTGCCCTCCCCCAGCCCCTGGCAACCACTAGCCTGCTCTCTGTGTCTCTGGATTTGCCTGTTCTGGACATTTCATATAAATGGGATCAGACACCACGTGGCCTTTTCTGACTGGCTTCTTTTACTTTGTAATGTTTTTAAGGTTCCTGTAGATTGTAACATGTGACAGAGCCTTGTTCCTTTTGGTGGCTCGGTAATAATCCTCTGGTATGTGGTTATACACCACGGTTGTCCATTCATCCGTCTGCTGCTGGACCCTGGTTGTTTGTCTCCTGGTGACTGTGGCTAGCGCGCCTGTGAACATTTGTGTCTGCGAACATTTGTGTCCGAGGATTTGTATGGCCTGGACTCTCAGTCCTCTCAGCTGTGGGACAAGGAGGAGAGTTGAGGTTTTTGAAAAACTGTCAGAGTGTCTCTTCCTTGGTCCCTGGTTGCGTTGTTATGCTCAGGAACTGGTGGGCTGGTGGCTGCCCCTGTCACCCCTGAGGAGGTGGTGTAATGTGTGCTCCCAGGAAGGTGGGTCCTAGATCCAGGAGGCCTTCCTGTCATGCCAGGTCATCTCAGTCCCCTTCTGCGTTTTCTAAAGTTTCAGCAGTAGGCAGCATTATTAGGATGAATGATTTTTTTAATGTTTATTTTTGAGAGAGAGAGAGAGAGAGCGTGAGTGGGGGAGGGGCAGAGAGAGAGAAGGAGATACAGAATCCAAAGCAGGCTCTGGGGACCAAGCTGTCAGCACAGAGCCCAACACGGGGCTTGAATTCACAGACCGTGAGATCATGACCTGAGCCGAAGTCAGACACTCATCCGACTGGGGCCCCAAGCGTTCTGAATGATTGTTTAAAAGGAGAGGCCATGGGGCGCCTGGGTGGCTTAGTCGGTTAAGCGTCCGACTTTCGCTTAAATCATGATCTCACGGTTCGTGGGTTCGAGCCCCGCGTTGGGCTCTGTGCTGACTGCCAGCTCAGAGCCTGGAGCCTATTTCAGAGTCTGTATCTCCCTCTCTTTCTGACCCTCCCCTGCTCACGCTGTGTCTCTCTCTCTCTCTCTCCTAGAAATAAAAAAAAAGTTAAAAAAAAAAAAAAAAGGAGAGGCCAGTGCTGCAGTTTACCCAGCTTCTCCAGGGACATGGCACAGACCTTGGGTGTCCAGACAGTTTTACTTGGGTCCCTGGACTCCACAGTAACAGGCATCTAGATGAGCAGGTGTCCACTGAGCCTTCCCTCGGTGCAGCAGGACACCAAGTGGGGCTGTCCCCTGGGCTGTGGATGAACCCTGGGTGGGATGTGCTCAGGCTGCTCTCTGCCTGCCACGCCCTGAGGCACCCAGCGTACTCGGCCCTGTTCTGGTTCGCCCGGGCAGCAGGGCCCTCCCTGAATCACAGCGTGGGCATAGGGCCGCATGGTGTCCGCGGAGGCAGGTGGGCCTGGGCGTGCAGGGCCTTTCCCCTACCCTACTTCTCCTTCATAGAAAGCTGTGCCAGCCGCAGAGTGCAGGCCCCCTCCCCGGAGACCCTGCTGCCTCCAGTCCTCCCAGGGAACACGGAAGCTCGGCCTCACCCCCTCAGGTAGGAGTGGCAGGCATGGGTGTGACAGCCTGTGGTGGTGGTGATGGGGGAGGACGGGATAGGAGCCAGGGGCTGGCCGGACCTTAGTATCTGGGTAGCCTGTTGGGCCCCTGGTTCAGGGCTGGGTGTCTTCTGCAGTGAGTGAGCAGCTGCCTGGCTTTCCCCCATGGAGGGGCCCGGGCCCTTGGTGCGCTTCCCTCGAGTACTCGTGGATGGGTGGGCAGGGAGCCTGTGCTTTCTCTCAAGGCTGTTGTGAAGATTCTGTACAACTGAGTGTGCTGGCTGTGGGCACAGGGCTCTGTGGGTGGTGGCCATGCTGACGTAGTCAGGAAGGCCGCACAGGTGTCCCTACCTGCCTTCTCTGGCCCAGTAAGGGACCTTGCCCCAGGTCCCTTATTTATCTCCCTTCTCTCCTTTGCCTCAGAGGCTCCCAGCCCATGTCCAAGGCTCTGGAGCCTCCTTGTGGAGAGGTCAGGTCTATGCATGCCCTGGCTTTGGGGCTGAAATAGAGGGCTGAGGGCCTCATTACCTTCCCCCTGATTGTGGGCCTGCTGTCCACCATCGTCTCTAGCTGCTTCCCTGGGTCTGGGCTGTCTGTGTCCGTCCCTTCCTGATATGCCTCAGCCTTCTCATTTGTGACATGGGGATGAGGCCTCACATGTAACAGGGTTGCCCTGGGGGTCCAGGGAGTCCTAGATCTAAGGGGGTGGATATCCCAGCCGGTGGCACTGCCTTGTATCCTCAGGCTTGATTCTGTCACCATTCCTCTCATCTAGGGAAGATGCTGAGAGCAGCGACATTTCTGACCAGTCCCCAGAGGTGGCCTTTTTAAGTGCTTCAGCTGGCCTGTTCCATTGATGCTGCTTCCTCTGCTCTGTGCTCAGGGCCCGCAGAGCCCGCCTTAGCAAGGGCCTGGCTGTTTCTGTGTGCCTCCTGGTGGCCAGAGTGGGCCTTGCAGGTGGGCGCCAGGTTTCCGAGGGCCTCACTGAGCTCAGGGTCAGCCTGTTGCCCCCCAGCCACTTCTCAGGGGACACCAGTGGTTCCAGATACACACTCCCTTCTGAAGTTGTTTCCCTTCCTTTGTAGAAACGACCACAGCCTCCTGATTTCATCGACCCCCTGGCCAACAAGAAGCCCAGGATATCACATTTCACCCAGAGAGCTCAGCCTGCCGTCAATGGGAAGCTGAGTGCACCCCATGGCCGCGAGGCCCTGTTGCCCACCCCGGGCCCGCTGGCTGGCACAGATGCCCACCTGCCCCCGCGGTTGGAGCCCCCGCGGGCCCATGACCCTTTGGCTGACGTCAGCAATGACCTGGGCCACAGTGGCCGGGACTGTGATCACAGGGACGTGGCTGCCCCAGCCCCGACTACACGACTCGGCCTGCCCCTGCTGACGGACTGTGCCCAGCCCAGCAGGTCCCACGGTGGCTCATCACGCAGCAAATCCAAGAAGAAGTCCAAGAAGCACAAAGACAAGGAGAGGGCAGCTGAGGACAGGCACCGGGCCCAGTTGCCAGACCACATGCCCAGCCCCCTTGGAGCCCCACCAGATGCCCCGGGTAGGTACCAGGAGACAGGCCTCTGGCGGGAGAGACTGCAGGAGGACACTGCCAGCAGCCTGAGCTCCCACATCCACCACTGCTCAGCGGGGGCCCTACCACCCCCGGGAGCCCCCATATTGGCACGCCCTGCACATTCAACGCCTTTGCACCCTGCGTTCTTGTATGAGATTGTGAATGTCCCAGTGGTCTTGGCCTTGGGGCCTTCTGCAGTGCTGCTGTGTGCCAGGCCAGTGCTGGGCACACAGAACCTGACCGAGCTGAGCCCATGGAGGGAAACAGTGCACGCAGAGAGGAGCTGGCTCCAGACTGTGGCTCTGGCTGCCGGGGCGGGGAGGGGAGGGGCGGGCAGAGGGTAAAGGGGGCGTGGGGTGTCCCAGGCTGAAAGGGTAGCGGGGTGGGGCTGGGCTTCGGGGAAGACAGTGGGGCACAGGGCCTGGCTGGAGGGAGGCGGCACTGGGGCCACCACGGGCCTTGAGTAGCCTGCTGACTAGTGAACGTTTCAGCCTGTGGAGACTGGGTTTGGGAAGCTGTCCACAGAACAGCAGGCAGTGGGAGTCAGAAGGAGGTCGTGTAGCAGGGGAGGAAGCCGGAAGTCGAGAAAGCTGGGATCACAGCAGGGTGAGGGGTACAAGGCTGGCTGGAGAGAGAGCAGGGGAAACTCTGTGGGGCCCAGAGGTACTGGGGAGGTGTATGGACAGGACAGGCTTGGGGTGGGATCGGGGGTCTTCACGCCCACAGCTTGGGTCACCTTGTTTTTACGGCCTCAGGCGCCCGAGCTGCATACCCCATGTGGCTGTTAACCTAATCAGCATGGTGTGGCCAGAGATGCAGCTGCACCTGCCTCCTGCGGGCAGTCTCAGGCTGTGTGACTTTCTGCCGCTCTCAGATTGTGTGTCCAGAAAGGATCCGAGCAGGAGGCATTCCTGGGACGAGGGAGGAGCTGCCTTCTCCTTAAGGCTTTTTAATGACTTGTTCAACTGCTCTCCAGAAAGGCCTTTGCCAGCCCCTCCCTTGAGGTGAGGCCTAGTTCCCTTGAGCCTGTCCTGCCTGGGGAGACAAAACCCTGAGCTGCCCCAGCCCGTCAGCACATCCTGTCCCAGACGGTGAGAGCAAGACCCCAGGTGCCCCTGGCGGGGCCCTGGGAAGGAGGGATGCCACGGGGTGGGCCCCACACACGGGGCTTAGGTGGCTTCAGGTCCTGCCCAGGACACAATGGCCTAGCTATCTTGTCCCCAGGTTAAAGTGAGAAAGCGAGGTTTGGCATCAGGCAAACCAGGGAGTAAATGGCCCAAGGGAAGGGACAAGGACAACTAAGGCCCTGGAAGCTGTGCCTTACGCTAGGTGATCCACCTTCATGTGCGTCTTGCAGGCGCCTCGAGTGGTAGCAAAAATGGTGGGGCGCAGAGACCCACCATCCTGCTCTGAGGCTCCTAGGATAGTCTGGGCTCTGCCCGCGCCGGCGGCCATGCAGGCAGGAGGCGCCCACCTCGGCTCTGCGTGCCCTGCCTCCTTCAGACTCTCCTTCAGACTGGAGAAGGTTCTGGTCAGCATATGAGGAAGCTTTTGTGCTTTCGTGTTCCATACGGGAGGGCCAGGCATTGATTTCACCCACTCCTCTGGTGGTCCTGCCCCAGCCCTGCGCCGCGATTGCCTCTGACCCATACGGATGCAGCATCTGTTGGGCAGATGGCTCTTCTTAGCCACCCCTGTCCTGAGGCCATTGTGGGCCCATAGCCCCAACTCGTGCCTGTGCTGCAGGTGCACTTCTGGGTCCTGTGCCCATCCCCGTGTCTGCCCCCCCACCCTTGCTCGCCCGTGGACCCCTCCTGCTGCTTCAGGGTCCCTTCCTGGGCAGGCTGGCGAACTGGGTGTGGGGGTTGGGCTCAGCCGGGCCAAGCTCAGGAGGCCCACGGACCTCTGAGGGCCGGATGGGGAGCCCCTCTCACAGTGGGACCCAGGCATGGGGGAGGCATCGGAGACGCTGGTGGAAGGGGCAGTGGGGGGGCGGCTGTGGGGGTGTTCCCTGTAGGCCCCGGGCCACCTGGTAGGAATCAGCTCAGCTGGTGAAGGGCTGAGCGAGGACCATGCACAGAGAGTGCTCCAGTAGCAGCAGGGCCTCTGAGGTTTGCTCAGGCCAGACCCCAAAGGTGTCTCAGGTGCTAGGTGATTCTGACCCTGAGCCTTGGTTTCCCCATTTGTTCTCTCACCAGAAGATCTCAGGAAGGCTAAATGAGGCAATGTGGACTGGGCCCACGCATGGCAGAACACTCTAGAAGGCGTACCTTATACAAAGCGTGGGTGGCGGAAGCATGAACTAAACTTACATGTGTTCATTGGGCCGCAGCCCCAAGGGGTGGAAGAGGTGTGCCCGTGCATTGGTGGGAATCCTGCAGCACGGGGGTTCCAGGCGGGCCGCTTTCCCGTCAGAGGGACACGCAGTGTGTACCGAGGGTGTACTGCACAGTGTTAAATCTCTTCTGTGCTGAGGAGAAAGGCGAAAGAAGCCCCTGGGAAATAGGCTAGCTGGTAGTCTGGGTCTACGTGCCCCCAAGCGCCGTGGACAGTCCCGCGTCCTCCAACGCCTCCTAGTGGATGGCCTGGGGTGCGGGCAGGAGCAAGGGCCTTGCCAGGTGGCCATCTGTCTTGGTCCTGCAGGGCCAGAGACCTTGGACAAGGGGGCTGCTGGTTTTCAGATCTTTCACACGCACTCAGCAGAGGTAGCGAGGTCCCTGGATCGGTCAGGCTCTGAACACATTGCCCAGGCGTTGGTCTGTCGTTAACTTGTCCTTTCTGCTGCTTGCTGGAAACGTGCACGGGCCACCGCCTGGGCTCTCTGCACTTTACAAGACTGCGGTTCAGGGACACACACTGCTCGGCTGTGGTGCTTCTGGGTCCAGTGAGGCCCCCAAGGTGGCACTTGCCCGGCCCTCACACTCCCTCTGCCCTTCCTGACCCCCCCTTCTGCTGTCCTTCCATGTCCTTCAGACAACAGACCTTGCTGCAGGTCTCGGGGGGGGGACACAGATGACGCATTTGCTCTTTCTTTGTAGGTGTAAATGGCACCTGCAACAGCTCGAGCGTTCCCACATCCACCTCAGAGACCCCCGACTACTTGCTGTGAGTACTTAATCTGGTTGGCCTCCCTCTCCCCGCCCTGCACTCTCCCCTGCACTGCAGGTGAGCCGAGGTAGTTCTCAGCCACATAGCCTGCTCTAGGAGCAGGCTCCTGCTCAAGCCAGGAAATCACCCACGAGGTGGGGGCCGGTGGGGCGTCGGGGTGCAGGTGGCCACAGGCATTCCAGTCTCTCTCCACAGCAGCCCCCCGGGTCCTGCTGGGCCCTCTTTCCCTCTCCCCAGGAAATATGCCACCATTTCATCCTCGGAGCAGCGCCAGAGCTACAAGAACGACTTTAACGCCGAGTACAGCGAGTACCGCGACCTGCATGCGCGCATCGAGCAGATCACGCGGCGCTTCACGCAGCTGGACGCCCAGCTCCGGCAGCTGTCCCAGGGCTCTGAGGAGTACGAGGTAGAGCCCCTCCCCCACCGCCTGCTGTCCACCGCACTCATGGACACGCTCTGGGCTGCGGGCCCGACCCACCTCTGTCCCGCCCCTGTGCGCCGCACCCGACCTGGTGAGGCGGCCTGTTTCTCATGGGTGCAGACAAAGCCAAGGCCTCCAGCCCTACCCACAGTCCCCGAGCCTGGCCTCTGCCCCTCCCGGCTGAGGAGGGCTGCTGTGTCTGCCGGTGTTTCTCCCTGTCACGGCCTGGCACTCAGCTGCCCCTTGCTGCTGGTGTGATTCAGGCCTGTCCATGGGCTCTCGGGCCCAGTTCGGCCTCCTGTGCAGTGGGGATAGTGGGGGCTGACTGCACAGGTGAAGATGACCTGTTAGGGCAGAGGTGGCGCCTGGAGCAACTGAAACAGCCAGGCCCTGCACAGAGTGGTGGGTTGGATTAACTAGGTGCCCCCTGCAAGAGCACCTGAGGTTCTCTGTGCACCTCACATCCCATCCGTGCTATCGGAGCCACAGGGGGAGGGGCTGGAGGGTTCCTGTGGCCCCCTACCCGTATTAGGACTCCCTCACCCTCCGATCAAAGGCATGCAGGCTTCCGGAGCTGACCCGTGTTGGGAGCTCAGTGTGGAGGGGTGGGAGGGGGCTCCACCCTTGGTCAGCAGCCCTGGGACCCCAGCCTCCCCTCATGCCACCTTTTTGGAGCTAGTTATCTGATTAATCGGGTGTTGAGGTCTGTCTCCCCTCGTGGTTCCCAGAGGGAACAGCTCATAATTAGAGGAACGGTGGGGGTTCTGAGGGTCTGGGATATAGGAGTCCCTGGGGTCTCTCTCTCTCCCCTCCTGCAGCCCCCAGTGGACATCCCCCAGCAGCCCCCTGCACACTCGGGTGGTTGGCCTTGAACAGTGGACAGGCCAGCTGGGGGTGAGGGAAGAAGGCCACCCAGCCTGCTCTTTGCCTCCTCCCTCCCACGGTTCTGACCAGCCCCTCCCGCTGTGCTGCCCATTGTGCTTGTCCCTGGGGCTGGGCCCCTGCCTCTCTCTCTCATGGCCCAACATCCTCCCCCCACCTCCTGCCTTGTTCATCTCCCCTCCCCACCCTCAGCCTGCCTCTCTTTACTTTGGTCAGCTTCCCTCACGCCACGCTGAGGCCATTGTCTTGAGGCAGGTGGTGACTGTGCAGGTCACAGGTTATCACGGAGAAGGGGGTCACTCAGTTGGGGTTTCCTGCAGGCAGGGTCATTGTTCACTTTCTTTTGTTTTCCAGACTACTCGTGGGCAGATTTTGCAGGAATATCGAAAAATCAAAAAGGTAAGTATCTAGTCCTTGCGGGGTAGGGGAGGGGGTCAGACGAAGCTTTCTTAAGGTGAGCAGCATAGAGGCCGGGAGATGATGGAGGGGAAGGGTCTTGGCTAGGCTGGACTCTTGGGTCGTCCGGGCAGCCCCCTGCCCCCACTGACAGCTGAGAAGCTCAGCCCGGCCCTCCCTGGGCACCCCAGCGCCCTCCAGCTCTCCCACTTCTTTGTGGGTGCAGCCCCCAGGCTCTTTCCAGCTCCCTCCAAGGTCAAGGGAGGAGCCGAAGCTCACCACCCCCAGCTGCTAGTCTGGCAGGAATGCCTAGTCAGGGCTCTATCGGTTCTTGCTCCTGAAGGCCACGAGCTGTGGCCTCACCACGTGTGTACCCCCGCGCGTGCCAGGGTATTTCTCTGCCAGTCAGGTCCCAGCCCAGAAGGAGGCTTCATGACAGTCTTGCCTCTAACTCTCATCCTGGCAGTGACCTCGTTTCCTGGGATGGGGCTTGGGGAGGGGGACACCAGCCCAGGGCTCTGGCGCAAGGTAGAGCAAGGGTCCCTGTCATTGCGTGATGGGCACTGGCCTGCAGGTAGGGGGAGCAGCAGGCTGGCCTGCTTCGCGTGGGGTATGCCCTGGGGTGGCGGCTGCAGGACGTGGCTCAGCCCTGCTCTCTCTTGCAGACCAACACCAACTACAGCCAGGAGAAGCACCGCTGCGAGTACCTGCACAGCAAGCTGGCACACATCAAGAGGCTCATTGCCGAGTACGACCAGCGGCAGCTGCAGGCCTGGCCGTAGCCTGAGGCCGCGGCCCGGGGTCCAGGCCAGCTCCCCAAGCCACCGGGCCAACCCTCCTGGATGGTGGGGGAGTGGGGGGGGTGGGGGGGGCGGGGGAGCTCCAGAGCGGGAAAAAAGAGATTTATTTAAACAAATAAACACGAGGAAGACACGTTCATCTGAGCCAGCAACGCCGGCTTTCGGGGGAGCCCCTGCAGGCCCGGTGCTCCCGGGTCACAGATCCAGGTTGCGGGGAGGCCGGCGTCTCCTCCCACTCCCCCGCCCCCCCCCACGTCTCCTGAGGAGCCCCCACCTCTTCTCTGGCCCACAGCGCGCGGGGCTTGAGCTTCCCCCTCAACGAAAGACTCCAAGGCCAGCCTGCCTGCCTTTTCTAGTTTTATACAAAGACAGCCACTTTCAGCTACTGCTTATGAGACTTCAGTCTATTTTTGTATGAGAGAGAAAGCATCTTTTCTAAACCTGTGCCTCCCCTCCTTGGACACCAGGGGCTAGATGCCGCCGTGTCCTTCCTGCAGTATTACAGACGCCATCTGAAAGTTCAGAGTTGCTCTGAGGGCCGAGGAGGGAGCCGAGGAGGGGGCGGCGGGCGGGGGGTGCAGCTGCGCCCACGCCTGGCTTTGCTCCCACCCCAGGCCCTCCCTACGGCTCTGAGCCTCTCCCAGCCCAGGCAAGGACTGGGTCTCTGCTCCGAGGGGGTAGCGGCCCGCCCAGGTCTATTTCGAGAGCTCCAGCTGGCCCAGAGCAGCTGCTGAGAGCCGGAGGGGCAGAGCGCTCTGGCCCACCAGGCCTGCCCTGCTATTTCAGGCCCTCAGCTGTAGGGGGTCACTGGGGGTTTTCTGTGCTACGAGCTCACACTGCAACAGCAGTGTCGGCTTTTGTTTTATTATGTTCTCAATTTCCCCCTTTGCTGCTGCTTTTCTTTTCACGCCGAGACCGTGTGGTCTCCATGCTGTTGACCTCACTCCATCCCTCAGTCCACTTGTGGGTCTTGGGGTCATCCTAGCAGAGCCACCACAGGGTTTGCACTCAGGGAGGGGCTGGGGCAGGGGTGGAGGGGGTCAGGGGACCCCCTGAGAGTGAGTTCAGAAAAGGTGCCCTGTCCACCCACTCTGGGGGGCGTGGCATCCATGGACGCCATGATTGCTGCTTAGTAGCTGTGCCTAGTCTAGTGTCCCCCAGTGTCGGGGGGGCCACGTGTATGTGTGTGTATGTGTGGTGGGGGGACCGCCAGGGTGCAGTGGGGACTGAGGCATGTGTTCACATTCAGGGCCACATTCAGCGAAGCCACAACCAGGGGAGGCAGAGGGAGAGGCTGCAGCCTGGAGCCTGGGGGTCATGCACTGGGAGGTTGGGGGTGCGGCCGCCAACAGTAGTGAGGCAGGGAGTGCAGAAGCTCTCACGCAGTTTCTAAGCCATGGGGACAGCTCCTAATGGGGTCCCAAAGAGCAGGCAGGCACCCTCTCCGAGGCACCGGCGTGTGCCTGCCCCACCCCACGAGGCTCCTGCTTTGGGACCCCTGGGATGCCCCAGCACCGAGGGAACTGACCCTTCATGTTTCAATAGCTGTTGTTTTGTTTTTCATTTGGGATGGAGTGGGGCAAGGGTTGAGCAGACCCCAGGGACCCCCCGAGTTCTGCAGACAGTTGCGTTGGATGCGTAGCCTGTTCTCGGCCGGACACACAGACCCGGGTGGAAAGGGATTATTTAAGGAGGCTGCAGCCCGGAGGACTGACCCGGCCCTCTGCCCTGGGAACCAGTTCAAGGGACTCTCAGTTGAATTTCCTTTTTGTTGTTGGCTTTTTGTTGTTTTTTGTTGTTGTTTTTCTCCTTTTAAGGAATTATGAAGCTAAGAAAAGTTTTGCGCTTTGGGGGTTGATGGACAAGAGTTCTAGCCGATTAAATATGGTCTAACTTATTGATACTGTGTTTTGCACCCCCTTTTAATATTGTACTGTGGAGAAAAACTATTTTGAGCCATGGAGTTGGTGTTTACAAGAACTTTTCACTTTTGCCAAAATGTTATGATTGAAAGAAAGGCATCCGCGTCTTCAGTTTCCTAATATTTTCTTAAAAGATATAGTGTCCTTTTTGTACACTAAACAGGTGAATGCTGATTTTTTTCAACCTACAATAAATTTCACTGAACCGAACCTAGCAGCCCAGAGTACCTGGGTGCGTTTGTGTCTGTCACAGCCAGGGACCTCATGGTCCCCTGTGGGGGGGAGGCCTGGGGTCAGGACGAGACCCAGTCGGCCCTGGAGCAGCCATGGTGATGAGCAGGTGTTGTGGGGGCGGGGGGTGAGCCGCAGGGGGAGGCTGACCTGACTGAGGTGATGGGCCTGCAGGTGTCCAGGCGGAAAGGATGGAGACTGGGGGTGTGGGGGCAGCGGGGAGCCAGGGTGGGTGTATGAGAGCAGGGCTGTGTCCCCAGGTGTGGACAGGGTAGGCCAAGGCCCCCGGGAGTAGGCAACACGTGGGGCTAGGGGAGCGCCCTTATTTGAAGAAACGATGAAAACGGCGGTGACGGACGGCACATTTTATTGTTTCTCCCAACTAGGCCGGCTTGCTGGGGCCATCCCTGTGCCCATGATGGGGATGGGGATGCTGAGGCCCAGTGGAATCCCACAGGCCCAGGATGCCAGCAGGGATGACTGTCCTTGTCCCTTGTTCCAGGTGAGGAGCTGAAGGCAAGGCAGGGGTCAGGGTCCTCTTCTTGAAGGACGTGGTGTGGGTAGATGTTTATTTTAGGAAGGAAAAATAGACAAAGAATAAGACTGGGCTTAAAGGGGTCCAGGGGTCAGGGGCTGTGGGTCCTTAGCCTCCGGGACAGCCCCGCTGGCCAGCAGCCTTGGCCCAAGCTCTAAGGTGGCCTGGGAATCCAAGGGGCGCGGGAGACAAGGTCAAGCAGGCCCTGTGGGGCAGAGTGTACTCTGCTCCCACGGCGGCCTGGCCGGACCGTCCTTCTAGGGGATAACGTCTCTCTCCCCACAGTCCAGAGTCCAGGGCCAGCGTCTGCTTCCCTGAGCAGCTTTGCCTTGCCCCATCCGACTCCTCGGGCCCGCTACCAGACCCACCTGCAGCCCCCCATGCCGCCCAGAGGTGCCATGGCCGTCACCCCCTGCACCTCAGCGGCAGGCGGTCCCGTGGCCATCCTTCCTGAGCCAAGGACGCCACAAATCCAGCCCCCTAGCCCAGAAGGGTCTTCCCAACCTCCCAGCCTGTACCATGGCCAAGGGGCTAGGGTCTGCCCACCATTCCTGCCGCTTGCTGGACGACGTCCCTGGCTGTCATCTTGCCAGCGCTCCGATCCCACAGTCCCTCCTATGCGCCAGGCTCCCACCTGGGCACTGGCACTCAGTGACTGAGACAGCCCTGCCCTGCCCTCGGGAGCCTCACCGGGGTCCCCAGGTGGCCCCTGCGGTCACTGTACAGTGCCCAACTGCCAGGAATAGAAGCAGCCCCTGGCACTGCCCTTCCAGGAAGCCTGCCTGGACCGGGTCTGCCCACCTCATCCTCCTGGCACCTCCTGCAGGCTGCCTGCGAATGCCAGGGTTCCCCAGGGCTGCGGCTGGGGACCCTTCTGGTCTCTGCCCACGTTCCCAGGTCACCTGCTACTTGGAGGCACGAGCTCCCTCCAGTCCTCTGGCACGTACGGGATTTCAATTCTTGGAGCTGGCATCAGACCCCACAGGTTAAGGGCTCAGTCCCACACGAGACCGCCCCCCACTTCAGACATCTGCCACGAGTCTCTGGCCACCCATACTTCGGACCCACTGGCTATAAATCGAGTTCCCCTGGCTCGCCCCTAGGCTTGCTAGAATGGCTCACAGTGCTCAGGAAAACACTCCCAACAGCCAGAGGAGGCAGCTGCTGACAGCAGGGCGTGAAGAGGGCACTGGGCTTCCCTGCCTTCTCCAGCTATGCCGCCGCCCAGCACTTCCACGAGGTTCCCGAACCCTCGTTGTTGAGGGGCTTTTGTGGAGGCTCCATTATGTACATAGGATGAAATCACTGGCCATTGGTGACTGAACTCAATCTCCAGCCAGGAAGTGGGGACAAAACCCAAATATTTATATAATACTCCCTGGCCCCAGCCTCAAGGGTCTGCCCTTGTCCCCAAACTGCTTCTCTCCCCCCTCCCCCACCCAGCCACCTTTCCATCTGCCCCCAAGCCCCTCTCCTCCAGGTTTTTGCCTGGGCAGTTCTTCATGTATCTCCATGAGGGATGGCTTCTTGTCTCAAGACCCTTGCAGCAACCACCTCCTCCAGGCAGCCTTCCCTGCCAGACCCTACTTGTGAGTTGCCTCTGGCTAGGCAGGGGTGCCCCCGTGTGCTTCCGACTCCCCTACACTGGAGCCCCTTGAGGGCAAAGCCTGGAGCCAGAGTCCTGGAGCCCACAACCCCCAAGGCCAGGCCCTGACCATGTTTCCTGCGAACGTTCCCAACTATCCACCTTTTGGGTCAGCTCCAGTGGTGGAAACTTTCCAGCCGGAGGAGGCCGCTTGTTTTGGAAAGTTCCTGGGGGAGCCGCCCCCGCCCGCCCGCCGGGTTCCCACGCTCCCTTATCACTGGGTGCTGGGGGGCGCCGTGCTGTGCCTGCCTGCCTGCCTAGCTCCTCCCCAGCTGACCTCGCTGGTCCTGCCCACCCCCTCCCTTCCGCTCCCGCTCCCCTCTCACCAAACCCCGGCCCCCTCCAGTCTGGCCCTGCCAAGCCCTCCTGCCACAGGTAGGGAGACCGAGGCCTCGCAGCGCCCCCTACACGCGCCATGTGAGCCCTGAACGGGAGTGTCTTCTGCTCAGGAACGTGAAGGCAGAGGCGGCCTAGGCTGGAGGAGTGTCTGGCTTGGGAGTCAGAGATCTGGCTCAGTCCTCTGCCTTAGTTTCCACCGCAGTGTCTCGGACCCAGGTGCCCAACCCCCCCTGCCCAGCCGCAGCTCCACCTCCTGCCTTGTGGCTTGCAGCCATTATTAATGTCCTGTTTTGTAAAATGAGGAAAAGTGGCCGCGCGCCTTAAGTGGCTGTGGTGCGAAGTGAATCCACGCGCCCCGTGCACGGGCCGGGGTCTGTAGCCCACCTGGATGTCCTGCCGAGCCAGGCAGGGCGGGAACCCAAGAGCGGTGATGGGTCAAGTCTACGGGGGCCTTGAACCCGAATCTTAGGCAGACGCGCCCCTCCTCCCCGCGCGCCCCTCCTCCTTGGCGCGGGTGGGGTGAGGGGCGGGGCGTGGGCGGGGCCGCGGCTCTTTTCTCTGGAGTTCGCGCGCCCCGAGCCCTCGCCGTCCGCCACTGTCCGACTTGACTCCGCGCCGGTGAGTGCGTCCCCGGGTTTGGTGCGGGCTCTCCGGGGACCGCAGTCGCCTCGGTCCGCCGGCTCCCGTGTCCCCGCTGACCTGCCCACCCTTCGCTCCTAGCTCTCCGCGATGGAGGCCACAGCCGAGTTCGTGGTCGAAAGTCCCGACGTGGTCTACGGCCCCGACGCCATCGAGGCGCAGTACGAGTACCGAACAACGTGCGTCAACCGCGAGGGCGGTGTCCTCAAGGTAGGCAAGGGACCAGGAGTTGGGAATGGGGGAACCAGGGAGCCGAGAGGGGACGGGAATTACCCAACGTCTGTGGCCCTGCCCCCGCAATAAGAGGGGGGTGTGGCCCCAGACTCACTGCACCGCCCGCCCCCAGGTATACCCCACGTCCGCGCGCTTCACCTTCCGGACCGTCCGGCAGGTGCCCCGGCTCGGCGTCATGCTCGTCGGCTGGGGCGGGAACAACGGCTCCACGCTCACCGCTGCCGTGCTGGCCAACCGGCTGCGCCTGTCCTGGCCCACGCGCACCGGCCGCAAGGTGGGGGGTCGGGTGCGGCTCGGCCGGAGTCCGTGCGGGAGGGAGGGAGGAGGGCCTCTAGGGGGCGGAGCTCTACGAAGGAAGGGGCCCTCAGGGGGAGGAGCCTAAGGTGCCCGCGGGCTCCCTTGGTGGGGGGAACCTCCAAACCGGGAGCGGCTTCTGCGCTGAGGCGTCCAAAAGTAAGGCGGGGCCTGAGGGTGCCGGGCGGGGCCCTGGCCGGCTGGTGGCCCACGCCGCGCCCCACCTCACTCCGCTCCGCCTGCCGCCCCCCAGGAGGCCAACTACTACGGCTCGCTGACGCAGGCCGGCACCGTTAGCCTGGGCTTGGACGCCGAGGGCCAGGAGGTGTTCGTGCCCTTCAGCGCACTGCTGCCCATGGTGGCACCCGACGACCTCGTGTTCGACGGTGGGCGGGGCCCTAGGCAGGGGGCGGGTGGGAGGCGGGGCCTGGAGGGGCCTAGGATCCCCCGGCTAGGCGGAGCTTGGGGGTGTTAGCCTCCCACCCCCCACCCCGCCGCAGGCTGGGACATATCGTCCGTGAACCTGGCTGAGGCGATGCGGCGCGCGCAGGTGTTGGATTGGGGACTGCAGGAGCAGCTGTGGCCACACATGGAGTCCCTCCGCCCGCGGCCCTCTGTCTACATCCCCGAGTTCATCGCAGCTAACCAGAGTGCGCGTGCGGACAACCTCATACTTGGCACGCGCGCACAGCAGGTGCAGCCCCGCCCCAAGTCCCGTATCCCTTGCCACTTGTTGCTCCCGCCCTTTGCCCCACGTTATCAATCGGCCTTTCGTCTTCACGCCCCCATCTGAGCGTCCACTCTCCGCTTCGCACTTGGGGAACTGAGTAGCCCAGACCCCTCCAGATCAAGGGGCCTGTACAACCTCCTTCTCTCTACGCCCAGTTGGAGCAGATCCGTAGGGACATCCGTGACTTCCGGTCCAGTGCTGGGCTAGACAAAGTCATCGTACTGTGGACAGCGAACACGGAGCGCTTCTGTGAAGTGGTCCCAGGCCTCAACGACACTGCGGAGAACCTGCTGCGTACCATCCAGGTGGGCGCACCCGGGGCCGGAGAGGGGTGAGGGCCAGCTGCAGAGAACCCCGCCGTGCTCACTGCCCGCCTGCGTCTGCAGCTGGGCCTGGAGGTGTCGCCCTCCACTCTCTTCGCTGTGGCCAGCATCTTGGAGGGCTGCGCCTTCCTCAATGGGTCCCCGCAGAACACCCTGGTACCCGGGGCCCTCGAGCTTGCACGGCAGCGACGTGTCTTCGTGGGTGGAGACGACTTCAAGTCAGGACAGACCAAGGTCAAGTCCGTACTGGTGGACTTCCTTATTGGCTCTGGCCTCAAGGTGCGTGGGCCCAGGGGACGCACAGCTTGGGAGGGGGTGCTAGGACCCTAAGCCCTGGGGTTTGGCTGCTGTGGGGGTCGTGCGCCGTGGGGCCTGCAGCTGCCGCGGGGCCCCTTGTTTCCCCGCAGACCATGTCCATCGTGAGCTACAACCACCTGGGCAACAACGACGGGCAGAACCTGTCAGCACCGCCACAGTTCCGCTCCAAGGAGGTGTCCAAGAGCAGCGTGGTGGATGACATGGTGCAGAGCAACCCTGTGCTCTACGCACCCGGCGAGGAGCCCGACCACTGCGTGCGTGGGCCGTGGGCCAATACGGGGGGCGGGGCTCCGGGCAGAGGGGGGCGGGGCCCCCTGTGACCTCGTGCTGCCCTGCAGGTGGTCATCAAGTACGTGCCCTATGTGGGTGACAGCAAGCGTGCGCTGGACGAGTACACGTCGGAGCTGATGCTGGGAGGCACCAACACCCTGGTGCTGCACAACACTTGTGAGGTGCGGTGGGGCCCCTCCCGGCAGGAGGCGGGGCTACCCACCGCCCCCGCCCACCTTCTCACCCTCGGGGCCCCGATCCCTCTTCCCCACCCAGGACTCCCTTCTGGCGGCGCCCATCATGCTGGACCTGGTGCTGCTGACTGAGCTGTGCCAGCGCGTGAGCTTCTGCACCGACGCTGACCCCGAGCCGCAGGGCTTCCACTCGGTGCTGTCGGTGCTCAGCTTCCTCTTCAAGGCGCCGCTAGTGCCACCAGGCAGCCCGGTGGTCAACGCGCTCTTCCGCCAGCGCAGCTGCATCGAGAATATCCTCAGGTGCGCCCTGGCCGTGGGCTCCCCAGCCAAGGCCCGAGTGTCCGCTTGCGGGCTTTGTGCAGGGACTTACAGGGCTTGGAGGCCGCGGGGTCACCAGCTGCCGAGTCCGGCCCCCACTAAGCCCCAGCCTTTCCCCCAGGGCCTGTGTGGGGCTCCCGCCACAGAACCACATGCTTCTGGAGCACAAGATGGAGCGGCCAGGCCTCAAGCGAATGGGGCTCGTGGTCGCCGCCTGCCCTGTGCCTTGCAAGAAGGGACCAGCGCCAGCTGCCGCCAACAGCTGTACGGGCGATGCCAACGGGCACTCGCAAGTTGAGGCACCCCAGACGCCCACCACCTAAGGCCACGGTCATCCTTCTGCCCCAAAACTCCTGCCTCCGTTGCCCCTCGGGCCCCAACCCTTCTGAGACCCCTGAAGACAATAAAGCCAGTGCCACCACAGCCACAGCCATCACCTGTGGGTTCTTGGCGCCTGCGACCTAATCCTCGTCACCGCCCAACTAGACCCGTTTCCCATTTCTCACGTGGCAGACTCCAACCTACCCTTCAAACACTGACGTCCCAAATCTTGAAACTTCCAGAACCCTGAGGCCTCCGCCTAACCCCACGATGGAGGATGTGGCTGCAAGCCAAAATGAAGAAATCTGAGACCAGATACCAAAAAACCAAAACCAAGTTACATTTATTGATGGGGCCCACCCCCTGCTGTTCAGGGGAAAAGAGGTCCCCAGGGAGCCCCCTTGGACAAAATAGAAATGGCAGGAAGGGCCTACACGTGACAGAACGTCTCTGAGGTCCTTTCGTTTTGTGTTTTGTTTTTATAAAATGAGAGTCCTTGGTGCGGGGCCTCCCAGCTGTCCAATCCTTGAGCTGGAGTACTGTTGCCCGAGGTGTGACCTCAGACCCTCACCCAGCAGACTGCCCGAGCCTCTGGACCTTGGTCCCAGGCAGGGGCACTGGGCAGAAGCCGAGGCTGGCAGTGGGCACGGGGCTACTGCCCCATCACACGCTCATGGTCATCCCCGGCGAGTACTGCGGAGAGACGAGGGGGTGGCGCGCGGAGGCGGGCTCAGCTCCGGCCTAGGCTGGGACCCGCCCCCCGGGGAGAACAGGGGACAGGGCAGGATGGGGCGGGGCAGACGTAGGGAGGGGAAGAGACAGGTGGAGATGCGTGGGGAAGCCGCCCTGGGGTGCGGGTCCCAGGGTGAGGTTGGGGGGAGGGGCGGTGAGATAAGGGCAGGAGTGAGGGAAGGTGGGGAGAGGGGAGGGAGAAGGATGACGCGGCCGCCCCCCCACCTGGCCCGCCGCGGTCACGGTCTTGCTCTGGCCCCCCGGCCGCCCCGCCGGGGCCTGCCCGCCAGGCCCCTCCGGCCCGACGCCGCCGCGGGGGGGGAGTCGACGCAGTCGCTTACGCTTTCGCTCGGGAACGGGTGCAGGAAGGTCCCGGTGGCCGCCATCTCGCCGTCGTCCCGCGGGGTGCCCGGGGCGTTGCTCAGGCCGGCCACGGCGCCGGGGGAGCTCTGGGGGCGGCCGCGGTCAGCGCGGTACTCTCCGCCCCGCGGGCCAGGCCCTGCCCCCCTCTCGTCCCACCCCGGCCTAGGCCTCACCGCCCTGGTCAAGCCCGCATCCCCGGGCCCCACCCCACGCGGGAGCGCGGCCCCTCACCTTCGGCAACCCGTCCATATCGCCCGAGCCTGTGGACCGACAGACGGCGGACCGCGGCTCAGACGCGCCTGCGCCAGGCGCGACTTCCAGCCCCCCACCCCCGCGCGCCCAGGGTCAACTGACCCCCTCCCCGAACTTCCCCCGCCCCCAGGCCCCGCCTGCTGGGGATCTCGACGGAGGGTCCGGACAGGGGTCAGTGATGGCACTCATGGCTTAATTACTGGAATCTCCCACGCCAACGCAGCCCCTACCACTGGGCGGCCCGCGGAAGCCCAGGGCGCAACTGGGACGCCCCCCGGAGAAACCGGGTTGGAGGGGCGGGAGCAACCGCCAGGGGGCGCAAAAGGCTTGTGAAGCAACGTGGTTGGGGAGGGGGCGGGGGGGGTCTCAGGACGCCTACTCACCCAGGGATCCGTTCACGTGATGAGGCTCCATCGCACTCATGGCCGCCATGGGGCCCTCTGGACCAGGGCCGAGCGGGAACTGCGGGATGCGGGGCAGCGTGGGACCAGGGCCACCAGACCCCCAGCGGGGCTACTACTTTTCCGCACCCCCACCCTGGAACCCTCTCCACTCACATTAGCCCTGCCAGCGCCCGGCCCAATGGGGTTCATGATCGTGTACATGTTCTCGCTGGAGTTGGTGGAGTCTGGGGGGGACAGCAGCGCGTGAGGGGATGCAGTGTGAGGGTTTCTGCAGGCACACCCTCCCCGCACCCCACCCAGGCTGTACCACCTCCAGGGCTGGGCATGATGGGTGTTCCAGGGGGCCCGCCTCCTCCTGGGGGTCCCTGCACAAGGAGGGAGACAGAGAAGGTGAGAAAGACGCCTCCCCCATCTGCCGCCCACAACTCCTTACCCTGCCCCCCCACCCCACCCCCCACCCCACCCCGGGCTTGAACGCCCAGCCACGACCCCACTCGGCCCCACTCACCGTGTAGCTGCCGGGGGAGGAGGAGGAATAGGGGATCTGGGGAGAAGGGCAGCTGTGAGCAGTCGGCCCACTCTACCCCTCACAGACCGCTGACGCCTCCCCCTGGCCCTCCGGGCCACCACTCACCGAGTTTCCGCTGGGGCTAGCCCAGGGGCCTCGCACTCCAGGGCCCCTAGAAGAGACAGTGTGTGGACCCTGGGGTTAGGACAGGAGGTACACAGCCCCCCACTGTGCACCCCGTTACCCCTCACCCTGCTGCCCCATGTGCCCCCAAACAGGCCCGCAGTGCAGCAGACATCGGCCGAGTCAGCCTTCAAATCCCATCCCATCACTCACTGGCCTTTGGGCCTCAGTTTCCCCTCCCGACAGCAGAATAAACAATATCCAGAGCAGTAACAATGTTCAGTGCAGATTGAGTCTGCCCCAGCATACCCAGCTGGTGAAGCTGGGTGGTGGCCCACATGGGCACACTCCAGGGGTTCTCCCAGGGCCTTACATGTTCATGGTGGGCAGGCCTGGGCCGCCGAGGGAGTTGGGTGGGGGCCGCATGCCACCTCCATAGCTCTGGGAAAGCAAAAGGGCTGTGAGTGGGCATGGTGTGGGGGGGAAGGCCCTGAGGCACACCCCTTCTCCTGGACCCTGCCCTCACCTGGGGTCCAACGCTGGCCAAGCCCCTTGGGGGCGTCACCCTCTGCATCGGGCCCATGCTCGGATGCCCTGAGGTGGGGACAGAAGGAGGGGGGGCTCAGGCCACCAACACTCCCCAGCGTGGACATGTGCTGGATGGGGGTGGTTCTGCATGGTGGGACAGCAGGCATTCCGGGTGGGGTCCTGCTGAGCGGAGGGGGAGGCGGCAGCCGAGCTTCCCTACTCACCCTGAGCTCGTGGGGAGGGTTCCGTGGCTCCAGGGAGGAGGGGCTGGGAGCCTGGGAGACCCACCGGAGGCTGCGGAGGGGGCGCGGCAGCACTGAGCGAGGGTGCCGCCACCCCGGCCCAACTCCTGCCCCCCCCTCCCCTCATCCCTCTCTCACCTGACTCGGCATCCGCAGGGTGGGCCGGGGGCCCCCTGGGAACCGCGGTGACATGAAGGGCTGGAAGAGGTGGGCCGGGGATCAGCACCTCCCACCACCTGTTCACCCCCCAAAGCTACCCCGTTCCTGCAGTGCCCCGGCCCCCAGCCTGGACAGCCCCCTCTTCCAGGACCAGCCAGCAAACCGCAGCCAGCCAGTGCCCGGTGCGTGAGTGCGGTGGGGCTGGGGGCTCGAGTTGCTGGGACGTGCATGTGTGAAGGGACAAGGTGTCAGAGGTCCTTACCTGAACATGAGGCCCCATCATGGGGGCGTTGGGGTTGTGGGGGGGCTGCTGGGAGCCGGGGGGGCCCTAGGAGGACAGAACCAGGCAGGTTGGGAAGAGTGAGATCCACCGAACCTTCACTGCTTTCTGTGGCCCTGATGGACGTGGCCAGGGAAGGGGGGGCGGGGATGCCATGGAGGCAGGAGGGGGAGCCAGTCCTGCACATCCCCTAGTGCAAGACGGGGTTTGGGGTGAGGAGCCCTACAGGGAAACAGTCAGGGGCAAGACCCACGGCTCAGAGAGCCATGCTCTAAGGCCCTTAGCAACCTGGCATGCGCAGACCAACAGCACAGAGACCCACCCTCTCCTGCCCTGGGGCCCAGCTCACCCAGCCCCTCCCCCGCTGGCTCCACCACAACCCAGATGCAAAACCCACCATGCCCACCACCCTCCCACCGATTGCAGCCTGCCCAGCCTGCCAGAGCCTCCGACGCAGCCACTCAAAATTGCAGAACAGGGGGCACCAGCCCTGGCTGTACCTGGAAGAAGCCGGGTGCCATGGGGCCTGCTGCCATTGCGTCGCTGGGGGCCATGCTCCCCATCACTGGACTAGGGGCCGCTACAGAGCCCTGCGGGGGGGTGGGGAAGACCGTGAAAACCAGTCTGGTCACTTCCTGCTGGAGTGTCCCCTCCTTTCCAAAAGCAGCCTGCTCCACGGAACAAGGAACCTGGGCCATCTGACCCTCTGCCCGTGCATGTGGATGCTGGAGGGTCCTCGGGGTGAAGAGCCGCTGCCCCTGTCCCCACCGGAGATTAGCGGCCCTGATTTGGCCTCCTCCTCAGATGTGCTATGGTGGCCCTCAGGATGGGCTTTGCCTCTTTGCTGTACCCAAGACCCTGGAGGTGATCAGGGCCCTGCTGGGCTGAACCCACAGCCCAAGGAGGAGACCAGCATTCCCAGCTCCTAAGGAGTCAGTCCCAAGCCCGAGGATTTGGGGGTGTCTGAAAACGCCAACAACCCAGGGCTCCAGTGGGCAACTGCCTCAGCCATCCCGCACAGGCCTGTTCTTTCCGTCTGAATCTAACCTCAGCCTAGTGAGGGCGCAGTCCCCGATTCCAGGCCCATCCCGACAGGCTGGCCAGGCAGAGGAGCTGGATTCCCAGCTCTACCCAAGACACCCTAAAAATCAACTGATGGCTTCAAGATGAACCTCCCTTCAGGAAGGCTCCTCCCTGAAGCTGCTGCACAGACCAAGCCCCCTCCTCCTTGCAAGGGAGGGAGATGAACAGCAGGACTCCTGGGGTGGGGGCTTCAGGCCCCTGGCTTCCTTTCGATGGAGGAGAGGGGATGACAGGCTGCTAGAGGGGAGTCCGCCGCCCCCCTTCCCCCCTCCCTGTCAGCCAGGGGCGGGTGCTGGGGGCAGGCCAGGGCTGGCAAGGGGGCAGGCTGACAGGCCACTTCCTCTGGTCGGCTCCAAGTCCCAGGCCTGTCTGCCTTGGGGCCCACAGAGCAGGGAGGAGAGGGGGGAGCCGGAGGCCTAGTTTATAGGGCAGAGGGGACACATCGAAGTGTAGGGAAGGAGGAGGACTCTGCAGGGACCGAGCAGAGAAGAGAGTAGTTCTCTGGGGGCCGCTTGACTCTGGTCTGTGTGGATCATCTGCCCCCACCCACCCCAGGCCTGACAGGACCCAAGCGGAAGGGTATGGTCTGTGTGGGTCACTGCTGTCCCTGGGCTGGCACAAGCCATCACACAAAGGGATGCTCAGGAATTTGCAAAACTGCAGCCACTTGGGTTCAGAGGAGTTAATAATTTTGCCCACAGTCACACAGCATTTCCTGCCCTACAGAAGCGGGAAGAGGGCCCCTTGGCTGGGTCAGAGTAGGGCTCCTGGAGACATACCCTTCCCCAGGGGACTGCAAGCTGCCCCCTTTCCTGTCCCTTCTCAAAGGTCAGCCTCTGAAGGACTCCAGGCCCCAAGCTGGGGTGGGGGGGGAGGGAGGGTATGGGTGGGAGCCTCCCCAGGCCTATGGTGACTGAAAGCACTCCCAGGGCCCATTATAAACCTTTTGAAAGCCCAAGAGACCCTGGGGGGGGGGGGGAATAAAGCTATCAGTCCTCCTCCAACCGGCCACTCCGCCGCCTTCTCCACGTCATGCCCTCCCACAGACACAGCCTTACAGCCGGAACAGCTATTCTCGTAGGCGCCTGCCTCAGTGGCTGAACAGGGGCACCTCTGAGCCCTAGGTCTGTCCACTGCCCCCCCCCACCCCACAGGGAGTGTGGGAGAGCAGGCCCCCTCCTTTTGAGCCACAGCAGGCGCCAGAGCATTTCCTGATTGGGAGGGCGGAGGTTGGGGCAGCTGCTCTCTGGGCTGCAGACCACGAGATGTGGGGGCAGGGAAAAGATGGGGCACCCCTCAGCCCCTTGTAGCTCCCCAGTTCTAGGCCCGAAAGGGTTAATATAGGGCGGTCCACTCTCCCTGTCGGTGGCCCCCAGCTAGACCCCCCACGTCAGTCATCCACCCTCCACCCAGAGGCACCCTGGCCCAACCTGCGTTGCTATGACGACGGGCTGGGCGCGCTAGCGTTTCCTGGAGATGCCGAGGTCGGCAGCAGAGCGGGGAGGGGCGAACTGAGCCCCCACTCGGAGGCCCTCCCCCCCTCCACGTAGGGGAGGCACGTTGGAGCAGCGGCCAGGCAGGATGTGCACCCACAGCCACAGAGAACCTGTCACCCCGGGGCCAGATCGCTACCCACCTCGGGCGTGGGGGAGGGGTGTCCCCATCCCCCCACTCACGTCAGCTATGCACATGCCATCTCCCCCCCACACACCACACGCGCTCCGCTGCCATGGTAACATGCGCGCTCCCGCTCCGGCAAGCGCGTTCCCCTCCGTGTGAAGCACCAAGCACTCCACCCTCCTTGCTGTCCCCAGAGGCGCCCTGAGAGGCCGCTAGAGTCGCGGCAGAGGAAGGAAAGGGTGCTGAGCAGGCCCGGAGGGGCTAGGGCTCGACTGGGAGAGAGCGACCTCACGGAGTCAGGCACGCACACAACTCCAGACACCCCCGGAGCCCCAGTTCTGGCAGGAAAGGTATGGGGGTGACAGCACACGAGCAGTGGGACCCAACAGGGACCAAAAGTAGGACTCCCAGCCCCACGGCTCCCACGCACAGTATAAGGCGGGTGCGGAGACTCTTCAGGGACAAGAGGAACCCCTACCCCTCTGGGGCTGCATTCCTGCCCTACAAAGGCCTGCACTGGGCAGGGGAGGGGGGTGCATCATGCGGGGAGGCGGTGCACAACCTTGACCAACTGCAGAGCGAGATGGGCACCACCCAGCCCTGGGAGGCCCGAGGGGGCACAGCGGGATCACTAAGGGTGTGAAGACACCAGAGGTAGGGGTGTGGGTGCGGGGGGGGGGGGGGAGAGAAGAGGGAACTGGCCTTGAGCTGTTGCTTCCTCCTTGAGTGGGCCTGGGGCCCCCAAGCCTTTCCTGCCCACCCAGAGACCCCCTCAGAGAAGCCAGCTGGCCAAGCCCCCCACCCAAGGCCAAGAGAATAAAGGCAGGAGCTGCCATCTGCCCACGACAAGATGCCACGGGCCCTTTCATGTCATCCCCTTTCCTCTCCAGACAGGCCTCTGACCCCCACTCAACCCAGAAGGAAACTGAGGCCAAAGAGGTGACATCAACAGCCTATCACCAAGCAAAGTCAGGAAGTGTGCCCACTGCTGGGCCTCTACTGCTCAAGGGTGCACCTGCCAGCTAGCCAACCCCCACCCCACCCCCACTCCGCATGCACTCAGAAAGGCCAGGGCAGGAGGGGACATGCAGTAGTGGCCCCAACCCTGTTCCCCTGACACACACATAGACACACACACACAGCTGGGCAGATGGGGAGGCAGGGGCTCCTGGCTCCACAGGGGACTCAGATGATGGAAAGGTGGGGCTGCCTCAGGAAGGTATGGGGGGTTATGGGGACCCTCGGGAGCTGAGTGCAGTGGAAGGAGCCTCCCCCATCCTGTGAGTAATCCTATGCTGAGCAGAGGGAATAGGGACCCCCCCCCCAGAAGCGGTCAGATCCCAGACCCATCCCCATAACCAGACCCACCTGGCCACCCAAGCCAGCCTCAGGCCACGCAAGCCCCCAAGGCCACAGGCCCAGAAACCTGCCCATGCCCACGAGCCCTGGTCCCAGTCCCCAGGGCAGGGACTCACGTAGTCCTGGAAGGCCTTGGCCTCATTTGAGTGCTCACACGCCTCTCTGCGGTCAGGTGCTGCACAGTACAAGTCCCAGAACACGCTGTGGGCGGCAGGGGGGTGGGGGGACGATGGTTTCCCCACACGTCCCCACCCAGCCCCCCTCCGTGGCCCACCCTGGCCAGCCTCACACGCACCACCACCAGGAATGCAGGAACCCTGGGGGCTCCCCCAGCGTAATGTTCTTCTCCCATCGGATCTGCAGGGGGAAGGCAAGAGAGTGAGGGGGCCCTGCCTCACCCCTTCCAACCTGACATAGCCCTAGCCCAGCCCGGGACCTGGGGAACGCTGGGGCAGGGGACCAGCCCCTCAGAGCAAGGGAGCTGGGGGTGGGGGACAACTATGTGAGGGGCAGAGAAGCGGGCACCGCACCTCAGATGGCCAAACACATCCCTGGACACCAGTCCACGGGCCCTGGACCATGCCCCCCAGGGCCAGCAGAGAGGCGGCCCAACCCTACCACTAGAGCCCCAGTGGAAAGGAGATGGAGGGGACTCCAGGGTATGGGTGGTAAGGCTGGGCCCAGCTTAGGGGGATCTCCGCCTGGCCAGGCTGGCTTACCTCGGACAGAAAGGTCTGGGCTGACTTCTGGGCACCAACGTGCAACAGGTACTCGTATACATACAGTGCCAACCTGCAGGCAGGCAAGGCGGAGGCTGGCTCAGGCCTAGGGCCAGCCCCAGAGCCCCGCCCCAGGGAGCCCTGGGAGAGGCCCTCAGTGAGCCCCTCGTGACACCACTCCCAGCCTCACCCACTGCCACCTACTGGTTCCCCAATCACCCCCACCTCCCCCACCTCCCCCACCCTGACAGGTGATGACGTCAGTTGCTCAGGTCAGCCAACTCCTATATATCCATCAATACCCAGCCTGCAGGCCCTTCTCCTCAGCAACACTCTCAGCAGTCCCTAACCCCCCAACCTGCAAGCCAAATTCTGCTCAGTTCAACACCAGGTCCTGGCCCCATCCTGCCAACGCCAAGACCCCAGAACAGCCTCGGTCCCAGGGGGGTTTTCTGCCCAGAAGAAAGGGCTCCTGCATGTCGCTCCAGACTATGCCCTGGGTGGGGTCTCCCAGCCAGGACCCTAGGCCATGTGGCCAGGGCCCAGCTTCTAATTCCTTCCTAGCCTTGTCTGCTAGAGGCCCTGAGGTCTTCCTCTTCCAGGTGCCCTTGGACCCCCATTCTCTTTCTCAGGATTGGCACCCATCCACCCGGGGTGGCCATGACCTATCTATACCCGCCCACCAGGTAGTCTAGAGAGGGGTAAGTGAGGGACGGTAGGGCCAGCAGTGCCACTTGGCTTCCATGGCACCTTGTAGAAACACAGTGTCCAGTACCCCCAGACACACCAATTTAGCCACTGCCCAGCCCATCCACATCACCTTTTAAGCCTCTCCATCCTCAGCCTCCATGCCCCTCATCAGTCCTCCACACCAGCAAGCAGAGAAACAACTGCCTGGCCCCTGGGGCGACCCATTCCCCAACCATCCACTGCGCAGTTACCGGCCCCGCCCAGAGCTCCAAGGGGACCTGAGGCCCATCGGGCCCCATGTGGGCTGGGAGGTAAAGGGTCCAGATCCAAGCCTGGGGGACTCCCCGAGGGCTGGCCTGAGCTGGAAGGGCTTCTCGCAGACCTCCCCACTCAGCTGGCCACCCTTCCCTGGCTGAGGGCCCCATCCTAAAATAACCCTGCTTTGACTCATGTTCCTGCTCTCCCCCCCTTCCCAGCCAGGCTTCTTGATCCTCACATCCCGCCCCCATATCAGATCACGCCCCCTTCCTCAGTTCCCCTCAGACCTCACAGAGGCAGTTCTAGCCATTCTGTTCGGGCCCCCACTCCCTGCCCCACCCCATGGGTTCCCTCCTTGCCCCGGATCCTCTTCCATCATCCATCCATTCAACATGAGCCCAACACCTTCTTGTGCAGTGAACACAACAGACACCGGTACCCCTGCAGGCTACCTGCTCATGGGGAGACAGAGAAGCAACAATACAAAGGAGAAGCAAAGTTCTGTGGGGGACTGGAAGGGCTGTGGTGTGCGTGCTAGGGAAGGGCAAAGGGGGGACATTGAAGGTTTGGGGTGGGCAGCTGGCCCAGGGCAAGGTGTGCCCCTGACTCACACCACACCAAATGAGCTGTGACGGCTACCTACAGGGACAGGGCACAGAAGGGTAGAGCTCATGGTGGTCACACAACTCCAAGTGTGGGCTTTCTGCATGACTGGCTGTGGATTCCCCCATATCATCACACGCCTGTCAGCCTTCCTGGCCCCGTGGCTTCCACGCTTCCCTCCAATTCACTCCTGCGACTCTCTTCCTTTCTAGAGGCTTCCTGAGCCTTCACGTGGCCAGAAGCTGCCAGCCCTGAATCCATCAGTGAAGGAACAAGTGTGAAAAGCCAATGGCCTGGAGCAGAGCCAACCAGCCCAGGCTTACCAGTCAACCTCATGTTCTAGGTAAGAACAGAGGTTGAGAGAGGCCTAGCCAGTCCCTCGCCCATTTTGGGGATTGCTGCAGGGAGCAGGAAAAGTCTGGGGTGAGATGCCCAGAGACAAGGAAGCAAAATGAGGTGGGGGAATCCAGGTAGATGGGGTAAGGGTAGGGGCAGGGGGGGGGCTGCATTCTGGCTCAGTGAGCCCCCTGAAGAAATGACCCTTGGCTCCTACCACATCCGCCAAGGGCTGTACACTGCCTACCACTGGGCCCTCCTGTACCTCCCCTTTGCCCTTGATTGTTCGGCAGTGGCATGTGACCCAGCATGCAGGTGCAGAAGCCCGCCTCTGCCTGCTCCCCCCCCCCCCACAACTACCCAGCCCCAGCTCAGCCCTGGGCCTTCACCTCTGTGTGGCTTCCTCCCCCACTTTGATGACATCTTCACACAGCGCCCATAGGTGGCTCCAGCCTGCCTCCCCCCAAACTCAGGGTCCACGTGACATCTAATGACTTCAACATTCCCCCACCCATTTCTTCCTCTCCCACCTCCTCTGCCCCCATGCCCCTGTGAGATGACCTTGACTCACAAAAGTACAAGTACATGTGTAGGAATATATCCACCCAACCATACTGAGATCACTGCACTTACTGAATTTAGGGGAAAAAAACTTAAGGAAAAAGCTCTCTCTCCTGATTTGGAGCCTTCTTCCTGCCTCCTCTAGCACACCCTTGGTCCAGGCCACTACCATCTCTTACCTGGATTTCGATAGCATCCCCCCCAACACACACAGGGGCTGCTCTCTCCCCAGTCCCTACACACACACACCCCGTAACACTCCTCCTTCACCGCCTCTCCCCGCACACACTGGCCATCGTGCACCTCAGGGCCTTTACACAGGGTGTTCACCCACCTCGAACACTTCCACCTACAGACCCATGTGGCTCAAATGTCACCGGTCAGTCTTCCCCATCACACCTAGCATCACCTGCCCCATCCCCCCCATCACCTTATTTATCCCCTTCTGACATTGTCTCTGCTCATTGCCTGCAGCTCCTCCTGGAATGTAGGGGGGGGTGGGACTTGCTCTTTCACTCACTACTGAACTTAAAACAGAGCCCAGGGCATCTTGAGCCCCCAGCTACCCCAAAGGAATGAACACACCAGCAACAGGACTCCCTCCTGTGACTCCGGGTCTGGTAGCACCGGTAAGTTAGCGGAGTATTTCAATGCAGAGGATCTGGGTGGAGTTTTAGCCCCAAAGCAAAGAGAAACCAGACAAGAGTTTTCAGTTTTGCTGATTTCTCTCACATGTCGGTACTTTAATTTATACCAGGATAGAGTCTGAGAGAAGAATTGTGAGCTGTTTTGTTTTGAATGAAAAAGGGTTTTTTTGTTTTGTTTTTCTTGTGCATCGTTTATTCCCGATGCGGGACAGATTCCTTCCATGCCCAAAACGAAGCACATGGTGCCCCGGAGAAATCTAGGAGATTCTTCCCACTCCAGGGAAGGAGTGAGAAGGACAGGTGCTGAGGACACCAGTTCCCCAGCCTACCTATCCTCCCCCCTCAGCAGAGGGGAGCTGCTCCCCACTCCTATTTCCTCACATCCACTCATCCCTGAAATAAAAAAAAAAAAAAGGTTCCACTATTTAAAGAAGAAAAAAAAGACAAAAAAAACCTCAAGTATGGGAGGGAGGGGTCCTGGCTGGGACCTGAGGTTAAAGGTCACCAACAGAAGCCCATGGGGGGGGGAACCACCACTGTGTCTACTGTGGGGGGGGGCAGCAGCCGTGTGTCACGCTCCTTTGCCGGCACCTGCACACCGCGGGGCCACGAAGCCCCGGGTGAAGCGGTTCCTCACTGACACCATGAGGGTATTTCTAAGGGTCTGTGACACTCAAGTCAGTTAGCTTGGTGGTGAGATACTGATCCACAGAATGGAGGGTTCCAGATGCCCAGGTCATTTCTTGAGTCCCATGACGACATCTCTGCCCACGAGAGACTTGAAAAAGGAGAAGAGCACGGTGCTCAGACCGCTGCTGGCTGGACAGGGAAGGCGCAGGCTGGGAATGGGGGGCCTGGGGCCGGATGGCACCGTGTGGCAGGGGGTGGGGGGAGGGGGGTGGGCAGTGAGTGAATGAAAAGTGTTGAAGCCTGGACATGGCCTATGCTGTCTTGAGACCTTCAGGGCCCTCCAGAGACTCCAAGCAGGGCTTCTAGCTTGACAGTCACCGACCAGGCCCTGGGCTCTGTTATGGGGAAGGGCCCAGGCGCTGGATCCTAATCCTGACATCCCCACCCCTAACCAGGTTGGCAAATGACCTGCAGAATGAGGAGTGCCCTCGTGGGAGGGGCTTCGGCTGTAAGAGGGCAGGTGGCTGGAAGGAATGAGCGACCTAGAGGAAACGCGCACCCAGACCCCAAATTCTCATAGGAAGAAACACACGTGGTGACATAATGGGATGTCGGAGCCGGAGCCCTGCAGACTGCAACGCAACACCACCACCGTGACTGGCAAGAATTACGGGAAGGCAGGGGCGCCTGGGTGGCTAGGTCGGTTAAGCTGCCAACTTCAGCTCAGGTCATGATCTCATGGTTGGTGGGTTCGAGCCCTGTGTCGGGCTCTGTGCTGACAGCTAGCTCAGATTCTGTGACTCCCTCTCTCTCTGACCCTCCCCTGCTCATACTGTCTCTCTCTCTCAGAAATAAATAAAACATAAAAAAAGAAAAGAAAAGAATTACGGTAGATAACACGGATACTCCCTGCCTGGTGTCCTCCTCCCCCTTAAAGCCCTGGGACTTGCTGCTGGGGGCTGGGAGATGCCCTCTCCCAGGGGCTTCTATCACTAGACAAAGGGGCTCTCCAGCCCACACACTTCCTCTCTCCCCCCCTGCTACCCTCAAGGCCAGGCCTTCAGGCATCTCTGGCCAGGGTGGTGATCACACTTCTTACCATCCACCGGGTGGCCTCCACGCTCACCCCTGACAGCCCTTCCCCCACCCAGTGGCCAGAGTAAGGATCTCCACCCACAAATCCCACCTGTCTTCCTCCTCTTCTTCATCCTGTTCCCTCCCAGACGCTGCCTCTTCTCAAGCCCCTCCTTGGAGGCTCCCCTGCGTCCAGTGGCCTTGCTTGGCCTCCAGGACTCAGTTCGGGGGCTCCTCTCTCCGAAACCTCTTACCAATCTGCTCTCCAGACAAGGAGGCCACGGCCATACTTGGAAGGCCAGCAAGAAACAGCAAACGCGAGGCGATTCCCTCACCTGCTGAGCTAAGGAACAAACTTTACCTGCGGTCACGTGCCGTCTCAAAACCAATCCCCCAGTGACACCAACCGTGGCTGTCATTTATGAAATGACTTAAGGCCACCTAGCAGCACCTCACAGCGGCAGAACCTCTGGAGCCACAGGAGGAGGGATACAAAGGGGACAAAGGGGCGAACTATCCCTGTTACCTTCATACTCATTTAAAAAGCCCTGAATGCAATGACCGAATGCAAGTGCTAGTTAGTTCTGGGTGCTAGGTGCCCTCCGGGCTGCCCTGTAGGCTGGGCGTGTTTATTACCGGATCCACCATCCTGGCTCCCAGCAGGTATTGGGTCCATTTCTGGGGCAGGCTGTCCCAGACCTAGTGTTGAGGTGGGGAGCCAGGGACAGGCCCAGGACAGGGACCGGAGAAGGAAGAAGGGCGGGAGGAGGCAGGAGGGTGAGCTGGGACAACAACATGGTACCAGAAAGCTGAGGGCCTGAGCAGTGTAAACCGCCCCCCCCCCCCGGCCCCCATTACACAGAGGAGGAAACCGAGGCCCAGAGACAGGAAGTGGCTGGGCTGGTGGCTGCCTGTGTGGGGTGCTCTACCTGCAGCCTTTCACCCAGTCCTTGTGAGAATCCTACAAGGCCCGCTGTCCCTATTTCAGCAAACCAGCCGGCTTCCCGGTGCGGTGTCCCCCTCCCCCCTTCCGAGAGCGCGCTCTCTCTCTCCCTCCCTCCCTCTCTCTCTCGCTCTCTCTCTCTCTCGCTTTCTCGCTCTCTCGTGCCCCAGACCCTGAGACCTCCCAGATCTCTTCCTCCCCAGGGCCCCCACAGCCCTGCGGATGAGATATGGGGTGCAACCATCTGGTGTTTTCCAAACTTTCTTTAGCAGCAGACCCCGATCTCCAAACCAACGCTTTCACAGGAGCCCCTGCAAGACACGGATGAGAGCAGGGCAGCGCTGGTCACCAGCGGCCTGGAGAATCGGCACCATGGGACCTTTAGCCCCCGCACGAGGGGTTTCTGCAGATCCCCGTGTCCTCCCGCTGGGAGCCGCGAGGCCTCCCCGGAGGCCCCACCCAGCTGCCCACGCGGGGCTCGGGCTAGCACCCTCAGGCCCCCTCCGGTCCCCCCAGTCTCCGACTGAGGTCAGTCTCGTCGGCCCCGGAAACTTCCCTGCAGAACGTGGGAGACGGGCTCGGTTAGCGACTGGCGCGCACCCAGGTCTCCACTGTCGGAGCTCGCGACCCTCGACTCCGGCTCCGATCGGTCGCGGCCCTCCCTTCGAATCCTGCGCCCTCGCGCCACTCGGGGCTCTTTAGCCCTCGAGTTTCACGCGCCGCCCTCAAATCTCGCGAACCTCGGTCTCCGGCACCACTTCAACTCTCCCGACCTCTGGGATCTCGCGCGCCGCCTCAAGCCACGCGACCCCCCGCGCCGCCGGAATCCCACGCGCGCGTCAAATCTCGCGACCCCTGAAGCACCTCACGCCCCGTAGCTCCTGCGCACCCGCACGTATCCCGCGGCCCCCTCGCGCCCCTCGGGTCTCGCGCGCCCCCTCAAATCTCTCGCCCCTCGGGTCTCGCGCGCCCCCGCAAATCTCGCGACCCCTTCGAGCGCGCTCAAGCCCCGCACGCCCTGCCCCCGCGCCCACGTGCCCCGAGCGGTGCCCGCCGGCATTGGGGCCCACGGAAGCTGCGCGACGGCTGAGCCCCGCCCCCGGCGCCCCCGGCCCCGGCCCCGGCCCACCGACTCACTTCTCGCGGGCCTGGCTGTCGGAGGGCACGGCCGAGCCCTTGCCCCCCTTGGCGTACATGCTGCTCCGAGCCGCCGCCGCCGCCGCCGCCGGGGCCCACACCTGTCAGGCGGCACCGCGGGCCGCGCTAGCGGTCGCCATAGCTACCCCGCGCCCCGGGCCTCACAGCCCCGAGCCCCGCGCGGGCACCGCGGGCATCGTCCGCGCGGGGGAGCTCCAGACGGCCAAGGCGGCGGTGGCGGCGGCGGCGGCAGCGGCAGCAGCAGCTCCAGCTTCAGCTCCAGCCACGGGTTTTATTTTCTTCCCCTCTTCCCTCAGCGCGGGCTGTTCCGGGAAGCGCGCGCCCCCTCCTCCCGCCGCGCGCGCGCGCGCGCGCCCCCGCCCGCCGCCTCCCTGCCGCCCGCGGGCGCCGCTCTTAAAGGGGCGATGGCGGGCGCGCGGATGGGTCCCGCTGTGGGGACCGTGGGCCGGGCGCGCACGCGCAGTGCCCAACACAGGGGGGGGGCGCGGGCACACACACGTAGGCACGGGTGGGGGCGGCCACCTGGGGACACACAGCAGGATACAGTTGATCACTGCTACACACACACTCTCCAAATAGGACCAGCCACCCAAACTGTACACCTAGGAACACAGCCACACACAGGACTCCACGCATCAATCCACGTAGCTACTGGAACTACTAGTGAGAGTTCTATAAAGCAATAGGCAGCCACACTCGGGGTCCCACTCCACAGAACCGTCCCCACACAGCGTGAGTGGGACCCGCCACACGTACAGCTCACCCAGGGACACCCTGTCATACACATGGAGGTATACACAGTGGCTACCAGAACAGCAAAACACACAGACCACTGCTCACGTAGACACACAACACAGACACATGCGACACAAAGAACCACACGGCATTGCCCCATAGTCACACCCTGCGTCAGTAGTAGTTGCTGGGTGATTGTTGACGGGATCATTCCTTCTGCCATTGGCCAGCTGTAAATGGGGCACACCTCACTTTCAATTGTCCCTCAGCAGGAGTCAGGATGGCAGGCAGTGGGTACCCCCATTCCCTCTCCTGGGGCCCTTCTCCCTCCAGAGGGTATGAGCTGGAGGCAGACACTTAAGTAAGGACACGCACAGGGCAAGGGTGCCTGGGAGGGGTGGAGGCCTGTGCGGGGGGGGGGGGGGGGAGGCAGTCCAGTGGTGACTCTGGATGTTTCTGGGAATATCTGCCCTAGGCGGTCCCCCCCCCCGCCCCCGCCATGTATGACTGCGAGCGTGCATCTGTGTCTGTGTGTGCACGCAATTCCAGTGTGAGTGCACACGTGCCGCGTGATGCCTGGGGTTCGGTAGGTATCCGGTGAAAGGCTGCAGTCTGGTCAGCTGGCCCTGGCTCTGCAGCAGTGGTTGTGTGTCCTTGGCAGTTGTGCGAGGCCAAGTAACGCCCTCAGACTGTGTCCACAAGTGTGTGTGTTTGCCTGTGTGTGCCTCTGCGCGTAGGGTGATTGCTGGCTTCCTGGGACCTGTGGACCTGTGTCGTGTGGTTGTGTGCTCAGGTTTCCTGCGTCGTGTGTGTGTGTGTGTGTGTGTGTGTGTCTTGATGGGAGCACCCCACCCCCACCCCCTACTACTAGATGACCCCTCTTATACCTCCCTCTTAGAGGCTGCGCTCCCCAGTAGGGATCCCCACCCCTCAAGCCCGGCGGGTCGGCGGGTCGGGAAGTCGGGAGCCGCTGGGGTTCCAGACAGGCGGAGAGGAAGGGAAGGGCCCCGCAGGCCCCAGCCCCGCCTCCATCCCGAGGGGCCCCGGCCGGGGTTGGAGGGGGACGCCAGCCCTTCCCACTTCCTGTCCAGCCGGCCGTCCCCTCCCCCAGCTTCCTCTCCCGCGGGGGCCCCCGAGTCCCGGGCAGGCGTAGAGGAGGGGCCTGCGTTGCGAGCTAATGGGGGCGCGGCCGGCAAGCTTCTGTAGGGCCTCGAGCTGGCGGCTGCCCAGCGCCCTGGAGGCCACCGGCGGACGTGGGAGCCAAGGGCACCCTCATCGTAATACCCGTTCCCACCGCCGGTCTCCAGCGCCTGCTTCCAACGAGGCACAGAGAAAGTGGCTCACCCAAGTCGCACAGCGCGTATGTGACAGCTGTGACACTCCGGCCCTGCGAATGCTCTTCCTGCCACCCCAGGCACCCCCTGTTTATCTCCTAGTGCTCCGTGCCTCCCCAGGATTCTGTGTGTCCGGCGCGGGTCCCTCGCCCTCTCTGAGCCGCGGTTCCTTGAGTCGTGATCTCCAACCCCATCCACAAACATTTATTGAGCATCTGCTGCTCTTGGGGGGGCTCTGGGGACCCATCCAGCACGCTTTGCTACTGCTTGTGGAGCAGAGATTTTGATGAGGAAGGCTGACCGTCAAACGCTGGCGGGTCCGTAGGATAATTTCAGGGGGTACCACAAGCTGGGCAGAGGGAGGGGTTCCCAGTGGAGAGGACCCAGCGATGGCCAGAAGGGCCGGGCTCCCGGGGCAGGGTGGAGGCCTGGGGGCGGGGGGGAGCGGCTGTGGGAAGATAGAGAGGAGGAGGGAGACGGAGGCGCGAGCTGCGAAGGGGGAGGTGCGGCGGGCTGAAGCGACCAGCGCGGTTCTCATGGCAACCGGGACGGATGTCCAAACACAGCCTTGGTGCCGGCGGAAAAGTCCGAGAAAAGCGAGCTCTGGGCCCCATGCGGCGTCAGGGCAGCTGAGCCGCGCGCATATCCAAGCAAGGCGCACGCCTTATAAGATCAGAACCCACAGAAGGGGGTCCCCTCCCGCACCCATATGAGGAAGGGGCTTGGGGGGGAGGGGGAAGAACGGGTTTTGGTTTTTTGGTTTTTTATTAAGGGGAGAGGTGGATCGGAAAGATCTGAAAGCAAAAGGTTCAGACTGCAGTCACAGAAGTGCAAAGGCCCTGAGGTGGGTACACGATTAAGGTGCTGGAGGCAGACCGAGGAGGGCAGTGTGGCTGGAACGGGGGAATAGGAACCGGATCACTCCGGAGGGGACGGGCTGGTATTTGTTCTAAGAGCAATACGGAACCACGGGAAAGTGTGTAGTCGTGAGGGGCAGGATCCGAAACAAGATTTTAAGAAACTCCATGGGGCTGCTGGGTAGATTGAGAGAGCATGGAGGATGCAGGAGGTTGCCCCGGGAAGAGGCCCAGGTAGACGGGCCCTGGGCCAATAGGAGGCCCGGGAATTGATAGGGGTCCCAGTGGGGACCCCAAGCAGAGAAGACTAAAAGACTAGGCAGGATCCCAGACCCTTCACCGGCTCCCGATTGCCCCCGTGTGGCTGTGAGGGAACTGCACCCTTGAGCCGGTTCTCTGCCTCGGGATCACCACCGGGTTGGAGGCAGTGCCTGGGCAAGCCCATAGAGGACTGTGCTTGTAGGGCTGGGGTGGGGGTTGGGGGGTTGACTGGAGGAGAGGCTGGCCCTCCCCACTCCCTGCCAGCCCTTCCCTTATTCATACCCAGCCTCCACAGGCCCACCTCCCGGCCTTTGCACGGGCTGTTCCTGCTGCTGCCTGGAAGGCTCTTTGGCTCCTGGCCTGGCCTATTCTAGATCCTTCTTCTCTCCACCCCCCTCCTTTCCTTCCTCCCCCTCTTTCTCCTCCCCTCTCTCTTCCTTGCCTTCCCTGGCCATCTACCCCAGATTACTGGTGCGGCACTGGTCTTGGTTGGATTTGTCACTGTTACGATAAAATGATGCATCAAAGAATCTGTTGGCGGCCTCCGCTTCCCACCGGATCTGTCCTCCCTGCGGAAACAGCCCTGGCTGCCGGTGAATACGCTGCAGAAGTCGCTGGAAAGGCTGTTTTGGGTTTTCCTGATGATGGTTTTTCCTCTGCACTGGAGATGGAAGCAGCCCCCTATTCCCCCCTTGGGAGAGGCCCGGGTTCGGGATGGGGGCTCCTGGGGCTCCTCCCCAGCCGTGCGTGGGAGGCGAGCCACAGCTGGGAGCAGGGTCTGGGCCCTGAGATGTTTCCTCTCAGAAGCTGTAATTATGGGTAATTTTCTAACTGCAACACAAAAATTAAAACCCAAACAACACCAGGAGGGGAGAAGCCACAGCAGCTGGCGAGTGCTAGAGCCTGGGGTGGGAGTTCTAGCCTAGACCTGGTGGGAGGAGCAAGGCCCCCAACCCGAGCGCTGGCGGGGGGGGGGGGGGGGGGGNCTAGATGAGACAGAAGCCCCAGGGAGTCTCAGGTTTCCTGTACTCCGAGACTGATCACCTGGACCAGAAGTCCCGAGGTGGAGGTTGGGCCTGGGTTTGAATCCCGGCTGTGCAGGTCCACTGGGTCCACTGGTGAGTCTTTGAGCAGGAGGCAACTGAACCCCCCCCCCCCCGCGCCCACCTTGTAGAGCTGCTGCCAAACTCTAGGCAGCAGAAGGGACCCAGGATGACTGAGAGGAGGAGCCTCGAGCAATTCTACAGCCCAGCCCACCAGCACCATCCTCAAGAAAGCTCTGCCTGAGCCTACCTCCAAGGCCTTCACTGGGCTCCAGTGCCTGCTCCTTCTCCTTGAATTTGAACTCCAGGGCCAAACCACTAATTAGGAATTGGTGGGCTCAACCCAGATCCAATCATCCCTGGAAAATCCACCCAGCAGCCTCACTGGAGAGGTAAAGTATCTTCTTCCCATGTTATAGAATGAGGAACCTGAGCCCAGAGAGCTACTGAAGGAGTCACACAGGTGACCCAGCGAAAGTGCGTCACCCACTGGCATGCCTGCCCTGTCTGGGTCTGGGATACTCACTCTGGGAAACTGGAGGCATTTTGTGGAAACTTCAGGCCTGGGGGGAGGAGCAGGGAAGAGAAGAATGAAGGAGGGAATTGCCTGTAGCAGCTACAAAGTTTTCCAGATAAAACTGAGGCTCAGCACAGGGAAGCAACTTACCTGAAGACACACAGCAAAGAGTGGAGAACCAGGCCCCACTTTGGGTTGTGCCGGCACCACCCCTCCCTCATCTCCCTTCTCCAGGTCTCCAATCTCTTCCTGTGGCAGAGGAAAGAGTTTCCATGGCACCCTAAGGTTCCACTATCTCTTTGGGCAGTAAAGGGGAGGAGTCTTTTCTCCCCATTTGGGAGTCCATCACTTAATAATAACACTGGGGGCTTGGGGCGCCTGGGTGGCTTAGTAGGTTAAGCGTCCGACTTTTGCTTGGGTCATGATCTCGCGGTTTGTGGGTTCGAGCCCCACGTCGGGCTCTGTGCTGACTGCCAGCTCAGAGCCTGGAGCCTGTTTCAGAGTCTGTGTCTCCCTCTCTCTCTGACCCTTCCCTGCTCACGCTGTCTCTCTCTCTCGCCTAGAAATAAATAAAAAAATATTAAAATAATAATAATAATAATAATAATAATAATAATAATAACACTGGGGGATGGATACCTGCAAGCACTAGAAACTGGGCATTTTTTGTCCGTGGTCCTGTTGCATGCATCCAGCTCATCCCCACCCCAGGACCTTTGCATGGCAGTGCTCCCTGCCTGGGATACCTTATGCCCAGCCCTTCCCCATGGCCTGCTTCTCTTCATCCTTAAAGGCCTTAGATCCCGCGTGTCTTCTCAGAGAGGCCCTCCAACCTGGGTCACATTGTCCTGTTGGATTTTCCTGAAAATCTTGTTTTCGCACATTGATTTCCCACGTTTTCAGTAATCCATGAGTTTCATGAGGTCAGGGAGTTTGGATGTTTTGGTCAGACTTAGAACAAGTCTTGGCACACAGCAGGAGCTCCATAAATACCTGCTGCTAAACAAATGAATTAAAAATTATCACCGTCCCCTCTGTCCTGGGATCTGAGGCCTCCAGTGACCTCCAGGTCTTAACCTGATTGTGACACAAACCATCATTACCATCCTCCCTGGCCCGGGTGGAATCCAAGGTTCAGAAGGCCCAGGGACCAATGTTCTGCCTCTTCGAAGGCAGCTAGGATTTACAATCCCAAGTATGGCCACAAGAGGGCAGCAGAGACTCGCAGCACCAGCTCCTTAGGGTTTCCCCCACCCCAAGCCTCACCCTGGTGAACCTTTGGAGCAGCACTTGAGATCTCAAGCTTCAGGCTTGGAATGCAGTCAGCTTCTCTTGACCTTGCCCGTTCCCCCAAGTCAGCTTCCGGGGATATATTTACATATTTATGTGTTGAATTATTTCATAGCAAAAAAAAAAAAAAGAAGAAAAACACAGAAAAAAATCACCCAGTTCCCCCACCATCCCCAAAACTTCCCATTTTGAACTCTGACCTGTGTATCTTTTTTCCCTTTACTTTTTTCCTCCAGAGGTCTTCTTGGACTAAACTTTTCCAAGCCATGAGCCACCCCGCCTTGCTCTCCAGACCAGCCGAACTGCTGAACTTTTTCTCCACCGCAGTCCTATTTCCTAATCTCCTTTTAAATTTGGTAACTTACAATTCATTGCACTTTCCCCACTGGAATGAATACCAGCTCCTCAAGGGCAGGAGTTTTGCTGCATTCCAGAGGCACTCAGTAAATGTTTGAGGAATCAATGTAGTAATCTTACCAAAAAATAAAAATTAGGGGCGTTGGCTGGCTCAGTCGGTAGAGTATGACACTCATGATCTCAGGGGTTGTGGGTTCGAGCCTCACGTTGGATGTAGAGATTACTTAAAAATAAAATCTTTAAGGGGCACTTTGGTCAGTTAAGCGTCTGACTTCGGCTCAGGTCATGATCTCACAGTTCGTGGGTTCGAGCCCCATGTCGGGCTCTGTGCTGATAGCTCAGAGCCTGGAGCCTGCTTTGGATTCTGTGTCTCCCTCTCTCTTTGCCCCTCCCCCCCCCCGTCTCTCTCTCTCTCAAAAATGAATAAATGTTTAAAAAATAAAGTAAAATAAAATCTTTGAAAAGAAAAAAGAAAAGAAAATCTAACAAAGAAAATGCAATACCCTCCTTAGCCCGCAGCCCCAGGCAATCGCTATCATGAACTCAAATCCAAATCCATGCGTCCAGGAGTGACTTTATTTGAGACTCACCATGTGCCCTGGAATGGCTCTGCAGTCCCACATGTAGATGCAAACGAATGCATCTTGTGTTTGAGCACAGTGTAGCCTCATGGTCAACAATACAGATTCTGGGCTGACCCTCAGTCACTCTTGAGCCTTGGGCAAGCCACTCAAACACACCATGCCGCAGTTTCCCCATCTGTAAAATGGAGGAGGGGTTTTTTCAGTTCCTGTGAACTCGTAATGACAGTTCCTATCTCCAGGGGCTATCGTGAAGATTAAATCCTCTTTTTTTTTTTAAGCTTCTTTTTTATTTATTTTAAGTCATCTCTACACCCAATGTGTGGCTTGAACTCATGAGCTCAAGATCAAGACTCACATGCTCTACTGACTGAGTCAGCAGGTGTCCCAATCGGTCCACCTATCTTAATTTGGGGTCCCGAAGAAGCAGGCTCTAAGAATTCAAGAGCATGAACTGTTTAGGTGGTCATTCCAGGAAGCCCTGGTCGAGGTAAGGAGAGAGAAGGAGCCCTTTGGGGGGTGCCCACCAGCAGACACCAAGGGGCTAGTTTCCCGGGGGTCCCTCAGGGAGACAGCCCAGAACGTGCCGCAGAGATGCCCTGCGTGAGGTAGGAGGAAGCAGCGGCATTTATAAGCAACTCTCTTTCCTCTGTGGTGGAGGGCGACTCCCAGGAGAGCCCTGCGGGCCAGCACCATGACCTCCCACGGCCAGACCAGCCCCCAGCTAAGAAACTTGGCTCTGGCAGGTGGAACGTGCTTGCTGACCGCAGCCGCCTCAACGCTATATTTTTGTTTGCCACCCCCCACCCCCGCCACGCTTACAACAGCATTCAGTGGCTTCTAAAATTTCACTGTAACCAACACGGCCACATGACTTCAAACAAGGTCTTTCTACTCCTTAAAAATCAGGCTTACCTTCTGACTTCAATCTTTATCCATTTGATGGACCATCACAGACCCCTCCCCCTCCCCCACGGGACACTCAGCCAGTGTCCCCAGGGCTGTACACATGCCCACAGTCACACCTCCTTTTTAGCTCTTCACAGCCACCAGTTACCTCTTCACAGCCACCAGCTACCTCTTCATAGCCACCAGCTACCATGGTTTTCACTGTCCTTGTTTACCCAGGAGGAAGCCGAGGCATAGGCAGATTAAGGTGCCGGCCTTGGGTCTCATAGCAGTGAAGCGGCCAGAGGCCTCAGTCATCGCTTGCTGGATTCATGCCTGGTCCGCGGCCGCCCACATCCACCCACAGCCCAGGGATGTCCCTAAGTCAGCTTGGCTGCCCCCGTGCAGCGTTTGCTCGTCACACCTGCCTCTGGTCCTGACCTACTGGCTCCAGAGCCCATCAGATGCCTCGAGATCCAGGCCTCTAGACGGCCTCTGCTGCTGGGTGGGGCTGCCTGGCACCCTGCCCTCCTCCCTCCCCCAGGGGAGCCTGGACCCTAAGAACAGCCAGACCCGGAGGGAGGGGGGGAGGCTGGTGTTCAAAGGCTGCACTTCCAATACACAGAGATTGGAAATGGCAGGACAGCGGTTAGGGCAAGAGATTTGGGGGCCTGGACCCGGGGAGAATTGGGTGCAGAGAGGGGCAGATTCTGGATACGTGTGAGAACCCAGGAGCAGGATGGGATAACGGGGGAGGGCAAACCCTTGATCCCACTTCAGCTCCCAGTCTCGGAAATATTGGGGGCAGGGCCCAGGCTGAGGCCTCACCCAGCAGAGGTGGGTACGTGGGGGTCAGAGGGTGTTGGGCAAGTATGGCGAAATTGCGGGGGCCACACATGGGTGGCCCTGGGTCTCAGTTTACCCCCAGGGAACTCTATATATCTATCTTTGTCTTTAGTGGGGAGTTCTTTGAGTTTTTCTGGCTATTTTTGGGGTGTCTGAAGGTCTAAAGATCTCTGGGCATCCCTGGGGTCTTGGCGATGTCTGAGTTTCTCTGGAAGTTTCTGTGGGCCTCTAGGTATCCTTGAGTGTCCCTGGAGCCTCTCTGTCTCGGTGTATCTGTGAGGGCCTATAGGTGTTTCTGGGGTATCGGGGATTCTGAGTTGTTCTAGTATCTCTGGAGATTTCTGAAGGTCTCTAGGTGTCTCTAAGGATCTCTGGAAGTCTCTGTGCTGACAGACTGGCCCTTCGTGGGACTCAGACCTGTTTCAGACCCAGTCTCAGGCCATGTCAGCCCGGAGGAGAGGGAGTGTGGAGATGCACCTTCTAGAAGCTTCTGGTCCCCCTCAGGCAGTGGAGGCCAGAGCTACCCTGCTCCCCATAGCCTGGCCATGCCCTGCTGGTGCTGCAAGAAGGTCCGGACCCCATGGCCCCCAGGCCCCAGACCCGCCATGCTCCGGAAGCCAGGCCCTCCCCCAATGCCAGGACCTAGGCCTCCCAAACTCCAGACCCCTCTACATGCTCCAGACTCCAGGACCCCCAGGTCCCCCTGACCCACTTCCAGAGCCCACTATCCCAGGCTCCAAGCCTGCTCCTCCCCTGCCTCCCCCCTGTGTCTGGCACGTCCTCATTTCCTCATTTCCTCCTATTCTAAGAGGCCTTAGTGCTTAACACCCACCCACACCCAGGCCTGAGGCTGGCTGCTGCCCCTCCGTCCCTCTGATCCCAAAAGCCCGAGTATCTTGTGTGTGTTTGTTGGCCGATTTCAGTGTTTTACTGAAAAACCTCCGTGGTGAATTTCTCCCTCCCATCTGCCCGCTGCTAAGAGGTAACCAAGGGGATTTCTTTTTCGTGTTTCGTCCACAGTTCCTTTGGATGAATAAAATGAAATCTAGAAGTTTATTCTTTTGGCTTTTTTCAGTGAATGTTTGCTCCTGGAGACATCTGCTCTCACCTGGGTCTGCTCCTCCCCTGCCCCCCTCCCCCCAGGCCCCTGCCACAGGCTGTTCCATCCCCTTTCTCCCACCTCCTTACTCAATAAATCCCCCTTCTCCCTCTCCATAAGGGCTCTCTTGATCATCCCATTAAAAAATTGGTACCTTCCCTGCTTGCCTCTCACTCTTATTGTTCTCTGCATCCCCCCTTCCACCTGTTACCATGTTTCCCCTGATAGATCCTGCATAGGACAGGTCTCCCCAGCAGCTCCCAGAGCCCCACGAGGGCAGGGATTTTTGTTTGCTTTGTTCATGGCTGTATGCACAGCTCCTGGACCAGTGTCCGGCACACAGTAGGAGCTTAATAAAGGTTTGTGAGAAAAATAAATGAGTCATGGCTCATCGGTTTATAGAGATCTGTCATTTTGTTTCTAGGACTCTGTGGTACGCTCCCCCTCCCCAGGATGGATAAATCCTTATTCATCTAATCAATCCCTTAGGCTGCTTCTTCCCCCCCTCCCCCATATAAGAACATTGAGATGAATCATCTTTAGACAGGTCATCTTCTGGCCTTCCCTCTTTTTCAAAATTGTTCAAAATATACTTAACACTTTAACCACTGTAACCATTTTATAGTGAACAGTGCCATGGGTTTTTAGCACATTTACAAAGTGTTTCGCAAGCACCACCTGCATCCAGCTCCAGAACATTTCCACTGCCCCAAAGGGAAACCCCATCCCCCCTTAGCCTCCCCACCCCCACCCCAGCCCCTGGCAACCACCAAGCTGCTTCCTTTTTTTTTTTTAATTTTTTTTTAATGTTTATTTATTTTTGAGCGAGAGACAGAGTGTGAGCAGGGTAGGGACAGAGAGAGGGGGAGACACAGAATCCAAGGCAGGCTCCAGACTCTGAGCTGTCAGCACAGAGCCCGCCACGGGGCTCGAACCCACGAACCGTTTAACCAACTGAGCCACCCAGCGCCCCTGCTTTCTGTCTCTGTGGATTTGCCTGTTCCGGGCATATCATATCAGTGGGGTCATAAGCTCTGTGGTCTTTTGTGACTGGCTTCCTTCACTCACCCTGATGTTTCCAGGTTCATCCACGACGAGAGTGTCTGCATTTCACCCCCTTCGTGCGGCTGAATCACATTGCGTGTCTGGAAGCACCACGTTTTGTTTACTCACTCATCACCCATTTCATGCTCCGCTGCCCTTGTCACTTTGTCAACATGAACTATCCAGGAGCGTCCCAGCAGCGGGATGCTGGGGCAGCAGATGCGAGTGTTGGTGACTCCTGTGGCCTGTGCCGGTCGCTGTGCTTTCCCCTGGGACAGCGCCACACGTGATCCTGAAGCGGCCCGCAGGCTTCCGTTTTCCCACAGCCTGGCCAGCACAGAAGGTCAGCACACGTCTGAATCTTTGCTCGTCTCCTCAGGGAAAACGAACGGTCCCTCAGAGTCGTGATGTGCAGTGTTTCTGTTAAGAATGAGTACCTTTGGGGGGGCGCCTGGGTGGCTTAGTCGGTTAAGCGTCCGACTTTCGCTGAGGTCATGATCTCGCGGTTCGTGGGTTCAAGCCCCGCGTCGGGCTCTGTGCTGACTGCCGGCTCAGAGCCTGGAGCCTGTTTCAGTCTGTCACTCCCTCTCTCTCTGACCCTCTCCTGCTCACGCTGTCTCTCTCTCTCTCCTAGAAATAAATAAAAACATTAA